GATCCCAGCTTTCTGCTAATGTGCACCCTGGAAAGCAGCAGGTGACAGTTAAAGCAGTTGGGTTTCTGCCACCCATACTGAAAACTCAAATTCCAGCCTATCCAGCCCCTGCTGCTGAAGGCAGTGGATGGGAGATCTCTTTCTGTTTTTCAAATAAATGTAATTAATTAATTAATGTTAAAAGAAAAGCCAAGGCTGTCAGGTCAAAAGTAAACTACTGAGTTTCTATGGGTAAAGAAAAAGAAATAGAGGGGCCAGTGCTGTGGCGTAGAGGGTTAAAGGCCTGGCCTAAAGCACCGTCATCCCATCTGGGCGCTGGTTCTAGTCCTGGCTGCTCCTCTTCCCATCCAGCTCTCTGCTATGGCCTGGAATAGCAGAAGATGGCCCAAGTCCTTCGGCCCCTGCACCCCCATGGGAGACCTGGAGGAAGCTCCCAGCTCCTGGCTCTGGATCGGCACAGCTCCGGCTGTTACGGCCATCTGGGGAGTGAACCAGCGAATGGAAGACTTTCTCTGTCTCTACCTCTCTCTGTAACTCTTTCAAATAAATAAAATAAATCTTAAAAAAAAAAAAAGAAAAGAAAAAGGAATAGAATAAAGTAAAACATGACCCAAGTCACAAAGGAAGTTAGGTTCAATTGAAATAAAAAGTCTGGATCCAGGGTCAGCATTGTGGCATAGCAGGTAAAGCCGCAGTATCTGTCGCCGGCATCCCATATGGGTGCCAGTTAGAGACCTGGCTGTTCCACTCCCTATCCAGCTCCCTGTTAATGGCCTGGGAAAGCACTGGAGGATGGCCCAAGTGCTTAGGTCCCTGCTACCCACATGTGAGACCTGAAAGAAGCTCCTGGCTTCTATCTGGCCCAACCCCAGCTGGTATAGCCATCTAGAGAGTGAACCAGCAGATGGAAGATCTGTCTTTGCCTCTCTCTCTCTCTGTAACTCTGCCTTCAAATAATTACTTAAAGAAAAAAAAAAAAAAAAAAAAAAGCTGGCGCCGCGGCTCACTAGGCTAATCCTCCGCCTTGCGGCGCTGGCACACAGGGTTCTAGTCCCGGTCGGGGCACCGGATTCTGTCCCGGTTGCCCCTCTTCCAGGCCAGCTCTCTGCTGTGGCCCGGGAGTGCAGTGGAGGATGGCCCAAGTGCTTGGGCCCTGCACCCGCATGGGAGACCAGGAGAAGCACCTGGCTCCTGGCTTCGGATCAGCGCGGTGCGCCAGCCGCGGCGGCCATGGGAGGGTGAACCAACGGCAAAGGAAGACCTTTCTCTCTGTCTCTCTCTCTCACTGTCCACTCTGCCTGTCAAAAAAATAAAAAAATAAAATAAATTAAAAAAAAAAGAGAGAAAAGAAAAAAAAAAAAGACTGGAACCACACAAGTTTTCAAAGAAAACGTGAATCAGCCAGGCAGTAAAGAAATATGTGTAAAAATGCTGAAGGAAGACACAGGTTAGGAAATTGGACAGTTTCTCTCTCAGTGAGTTGACCTAGGAAGATAAAGGAAAATAAGCATATCTCAGCTAATACTTTCTAAACAAACTATGATACCAGTTTTGCAGTATGTTAACTGGCAATATGTGTGTGTGGGAGAGGGGACTTGTGTTCAAAGTTTTGGGAGCACTACATGTTATATCCACCTCTCAGAGAGTTAGAATGAACACTAGCATATTAACGATTCTGAGAAGTTCTGTAGTAAGCAAACGAATTTGTTTAATCCAAAGACAATTCCCAAAAGTAAGTTTCAGGGAACACTTGTGCCATTAAAATAATTTGGGAAATACTCATTTAGGGCTATTGTACATAAGCATGTGTCTTCAGAAACAGAATGAGGCTGGTATAACAGACTAGATGACCACATTTCTGACATGACAGAACTCTAGTTCAAACAGAGACAGGAAGATTACAAAGAGTGGTCTAGGCAGACAAATACCGAAACTACAACCTTTAATAGTAATACTATCCCAACCCAAAAAATAATACCAAATTGGGCTATTTTCGAGTCTGAGTATATTCATGTGCGGCCCTCAAACACAGGAAAAAAATAATGAAAAAAAGCCACAGAAATCTTGACCAGGGGTCCGGCACTGTGGTACAAGGTGTTAAGTTGCTACATGTAACGCCAGGGAGAGAGAGAAAAAAAAAAGACCTTCCAGTGATTCCTTCCTCAAATGTCTGCAACAGACATGGCTGGGTCAGGTTGAAACCAGGAGCTGGAACACTATCCAGTCTCTCATATGGGTGGCAAGAACATAAGTACTTGGGCCATCATCTGCTGCCTTCCCAGAATGTATATTAGCAGGAAGCTGGATTGGAAGCAGGGGAGCCAGGACTCAAACTGGCATGGGATGTAGATATCCAAAGCAGCAGTCTAATCTGCTGCATCACAATGCCCATATCCCATTTTGATATATTTAAATGTCATACTTTAGGGAAGTTCATAAGGAGAGTTGCCAGGACCTCCAGCCGGGAACATATGGGAGGAGTCTGGCACTTGCACACGCTGTCTCAGCAACCTCAGCACATGAGACAGTATAGAAGCTCAAGGAGGAGTACCACGCTGACCTGAAAGAGAAGTATCCTCAGGGAACCACAGCAGATTTTGTTTTGTTAATTGGATTTCTACTTCCTGTAGCCTTAACAGTACTCCCTAGACAAGGTTTGCTTTCCTGCCTTTCTCTACACAAATTTGTGACAGGAAGATTGGCTGTCTAGAGACCAAAGTCATTTTATTTTGTTTCAGGTGATGGTTTGATTGATTGATAGATGTAAAAGTAAAGCAAGGCCCCTTGCCAAAACAACCACACACGCTGCCCAATGCTCCCACATTCTCTTTTAGAATGCAAACATTCCAGGAAGAAATCCATGCATTATGTTATATTATATGAATGACTGTGAGTCTATAAACAAAGCCTACGCCAATATAAAGTATTTTTATAATCATTACTTACTTATAGATTGAAGTGATGGAAAGAGAGGGAGAAAGGGAGACAAGCAGGGAGAGAGGGAGAGAGGGAGAGAGGGAGAGAGGGAGAGAGGGAGAGAGAGAGAGAGAGAGAGACAAAGACATTGGGGGGAAATGGGCAAAGAGCCCACAGAGGGATAGTATAGGCACAAATGTATAGGGGATAAAGGACCTCTATGTGTGTGTGGTTTTACCTAGATTTGGATCAGATACTAAGGGCAAAAAAAAAAAAAAAAAAAGGGTAAAAGTCAAAATTCACACCAAAATGCATGCATTGCACTCACATACATGCAGCAATCAAGGAAGGCTGAGGTGGCAATTCAAAAGAAAAGGAAAGACACAAATCTAGAGAGGTAACAACTGTTAGCTAAAAGCTTTGAGAAAAGGATAGAGTGGGTGAAATGGCTAGGAATAATAAAGGAAAAAAGGGTATTGGGGTGGATATTTGGCATAGCAGTTAAGACACCACTTGGGATACCTGCAACCCCATATTGGAGTGCCTGGTTTGGAGTCTTGGCTCCGCTTCCAGCTTTCTGCTGCTGCACACCCTGGGAGACAGTGGTGCTGGCTCAAATACTTTGGTCCCTGCCACCAGCTTGGGAGATCTGAATTGAGTTTTGGGCTCCTGTCTTTGAACTTGCCCAGCCCCGGCTGTTGCTAGCATTTTGGGAGTGAACCAGCAGATGGGAGAGCTCGCTCTTGCTCTCTTTCTCTCTTTCTCTCCCCCCCCCCCCTTCAAATAAGTAAATAAATAAATGTTTAAAAAGTAGATATCAGTAACAGTAATGAAAGACAAAGAAGCATGGAAAACAACGAATTTACTGGTAAAAAGCTGATGCACATTTTCTGAGCTTAGTGGCACAAATATTGGCTAAAGTGACCTCAAAGAACAGAGAACAAAGACTACACCTCAGGAGTATTCCAATAAAGCCAAAGTCCTCTGGCTCCCTCTACTGTCCAACAATGTACTTTAGTTATGTCAATTCAATTTTTTTAGTGACCAAAATAAACAAAAATAGATATATAAACACATACATATGGATATTCACACACACACATACCCTAAATCCAGCACAGTCCAGGCAATCAGAGTTCAAACATACTTACCTTTAATGAGTTCAATGGCCTGGACCAAATATTCCAGAGTAAGTACTAACATAACCTATCCTCCCCATCACCAAATCAAAATAATTCAAGAGATTACTGAGGATTTATTCATCAAAAGAAGCAAAGTTTGAGTAAGGAATGAAGTTCCTCTTCTACTTTGATTATGGCCTGGTCTAAATAAGGTCGGAATTTGTGAATGCAAGAGACTTCCATAGCCTTAGCAGCTCATGACAAGAGTCCAGGATGATTACTGACGTCATAAATAAAGGTGTCAATTGTTAGATCAACAACAGGAGTCACTGTGTACTTGCTCCCCATGTAGGATCTCTGTCCTTAATGTGTTTTACTGTGCAAATTAATGGTAAAACTAGTCTTCAAACAGTACTCTATACTTTGTGTGTCTGTGTGGGTGCAATCTGTTGAAATCTTTACTTAGGATATACTAAGTTGATCTTCTGTATATAAAGATAATTAAAAATGAATCTTAATGAAGAATGGGATGGGAGAGGGAGTAGGAGATGGGGTGGTTTGTGGGTGGTAGGGTGGTTATGGGGGGAAAAACCACTATAATCCAAAAGTTGTACTTTCGAAATTTATATTTATTAAATAAAAGTTTTCTTAAAAAAAAAAAAAAAAGGAATGAAGTTCCTATTCCTGTTAGCTTGATTGTGGCAAGAGCTTTTTATGCTGAAATACGTACATACTACTTCCTAACACATCAAAAACCAAGGCATCACTAAGTTTTTTCTGATTCTGACCCAATCATTTTTCCCTGCAATATTTCCTTCTTAAAAGACTCTCCTTCCCATATATGTAAATTTAGCTGCAAGCACTGCATTATCCTCAGGATCTTCTGCATTAAACGCTTTATGAATCAGTTATAGCGGGAAACCAGGCACCGGTCCAAGAGAAGCACAAGTATTCTTTACTCACCTGTTCCTTAAATTCTTTCTGGGATAAGCAGTCAATTAGGTCCACACAGCCCAGAAGACATCCTGATGGATAGTCATTGGGAAATTCCACATCTGAATCAAGAATAACAAAAAGATTGGATAAATTTCCTTCTTTGTTACCGTTAAAACTCGGAAATATGTTTTCAATTCTGAACAAATAACTTTTTCCATTATCTATTTGTAGACATAAGGAAAACAATGAGGTTTTTATTTGGCACAACTATTTGTATTTTACCAAAAAAATCTAATGAGTAGCTGACTTAGTCCACTATCCACATGTCTAGCTGGGGAATTTTTACTTAAGGAAACTATTCCCTCATACCATCAAAATTCAAGGACCCCACAAATTCATTCCAAACAAATCAGTTCTATTATACTCTACTGAATCAGACTGGAATTTGGTGTTGATGGATATTGGAAACAAAGAAAGGCAGCTACAGGTAACAAGAGACAAACCATAAAAATGTGGTAAAAGCCATAAGAATGAATGTCAGAAGACAAATTTAAAACAAATCTAAGGAGAAATGTGTTTTTTAGGAAGCTTAGTTTAGATTTCTAATATTTAGTTTCCTTTTTCTTTTAATTTGCTTGGTTTCTTAAAAACTTTAAAGGTGTTTCTGCAATTATGTTTTCATTCTACCTTCAAATCAACTTTATGAGCTGGGTAAAATGAAGGAAAACAGGATTCCCAAGGGTCAGATCTTTTTAGGATCCAAATTTCGTGTGCTTGGGGTGACTCTCAAAATACTTTGCTTAAGTCAATCAACTTTGATCTGCCTAAATCCCACAGCAGGTGGCTATTTGGGTCACTCCTAATAAAAAATTCTTGTAACTACCATTGCGGTATATCAGGTTAAGTGGTTGTCTGCAGTGCTGGCATCCAGTTTGGGTGCTGGTTCGAGTCCCAGCTGTTCCACTTCCCATCCAGCTCTCTGCTAGTGCACCTGGGAAAGCAGTGGAGGATGGCTCAAGTGCTTAGGCCCCTGCACCCATGTGAGAGACCCAGATGAAGCTCCTGGCTTCAGGCTGGCCCAGCTCCAGCCACTGTGGCCATTTGGGGAGTGCATCAGCGGATGGAAGATCTCTTTTTCTCTGTCCTTCCCTCTCTCTGTGTGTAAATAAAATAAATCTTAGCTTTCCAATCTAAATACCCCACAGTTTACAGCAGTCATTTTACCTTTATGGTATAAAAGATGGAGAAAATTTTCTCAGGTAGTAGTCACACTAATTGGTTGATTTCTGCTGTTGGAAGCTGATACTTCTATTTGCACTATTTGGAGAACTAATGGTCTGAACAATTATCTGTGATTTGACACTAAACAAATAAATATAAAGTTTATAAATTCCTCTCAGGGGATCATGTTGTGGGATAGCAGGTAAGGTGAACACTTGCAATGCTGGTATGACATATGGGTGCTGGTTTGTGTCCTGGCTGCTCCACTTCCAATCCAGCTTCCTGCTAATGCACCTGGGAAAGCAGCGGAAGATGACCTCTGTGTTTGGGTCCCTTCTATCCATGTAGGAGACTCTGATGAAGCTCCTAGCTCCAGCCTCCGTGCTGGCCATTGCAACCATCTTGGGGGGTTGAACCCACAGATGAAGGACCTCTCTCTTTCTCTCTCCTTCCTCTCTCTCTGTAACTCTGACTTTCAAAATAAATAAAGGAAGTCTTTAAAGAAAAAAAAATTCCTCTCAAAAAGAAAAAGCCATAGGAAGAAGAAAGTAAAACATGGTTGTCAATGGCTTCTCTCCACAAAGTGAGATAGAAAGGAGAACACATGGCTGTTACCTTTTCCACGAAGAAGACGGTACGTAGCCTGGAGTTCTGAGACTTCTTGAGGGGAGGGTTTTTTGCCTGTGGCTGCTATCCAAAGTCGTCCTCTATGGGGGGTGTACCAAGATCTTCCCTCCACCCTTCAACAAACACAAATTTAGTGGGAAGGATTTAAATTCTAGTTTCCTGGGAGACTCCATAATACACAATAAATGTATGATTCCTCACCAAGAGGGATATCTTTTGAAAAAACACTTTCTCCCACAATCCCCTTCATTTGAGGAGGAACCTTGTCCACCAATTTCTCCTATTATTTCAAAAAAAGACAACTTACGTCTCTCATTTCTTGACAATTTTTTTACCTAATCCCTGTAACTCAGACTTGAGTTCCCCATAGCCTTGGGACTTCTACAAGCCAAATCTTTTATTTCCAAGGCATCCAAGTTGTTACAGATATGGACATCTTTGTCCTTGTTTGAGTTAAAGGCTAACCTTCTTTTGGAAGATTTGTTGATTTGTTCTCCAACCTGACAGAAAACTCTCACACATAATTTCCCAACAGTGGTACTTTTGTAATTATTATTTAATAAAATTTTTAAAGGTTTTTTTTTTTTTTTTGAAAGGCAAAGTTACAGAGAGGCAGAGGCAGACAGAGAGAACAGTCTTCCATCCATTAGTTCACTCCCCAAATGGCTGCAATGGCCACAGCTGAGCTGATCTGAAACCAGGAGCCAAGGACTTGGGCCATCTTCTACTGCTTTCTCAGGTCACAGCAGAGAGTCAAATCGGAAGTGGAGCAGCTGGGACTCAAACCGGCGTCCATATGGGATGCCGGTATTGCAGGTGGTGACTTTATCCGCTATACTACAGCTCCAGCCCCAGTCTCTAATAGAATTTAATTAAATAAAAATGTTTATCATCGCTCTTTAAATTACAATCACACCTATTTACATTTTCCAATTATTTATGTTATGTTCTTTGTGGATAATTAATCAACTTGCTGACTGGTGTGAAAGAATCTTGAAGTAGAATAACAACACATTCAAGAAAATTTAATTACTTTACCATTTTCCAAGAGTTAAAAAAAGATGCTTCTCTTTCACTTCCCAATAAATTAAATACATAATATAATATATTATAATATAGCTCTTATCCTATTCGTATAATGGGAAATAGGGTTGCACATTCTTCATATCCTTAGTTTTCAACATAAGATGAATTAGAAGAGTGCCAGCAACACGGTAGGTGCTCAATATGGGGAATGAAGCAACACATGTCTTTCCTCTAGACCGAATAACTTGCAAAGCTACCGAGACAATGGTCCCACCAATGTGGTAGTGCCACCCACCTTATTGCTGTGGGATTAGTCATGTGGGATGGATGCTGCTCATCCTGTTCTTTTCAGTGAGAAAATGAGTAACAGGGATCCAAAATAGGAAGAGAGAAATGTAAACGTTCTGACTCCCTTAGCAGAAAGCAAGCTGTTTAGTTTTCTACTTTGGAAAAAGGAAGATGCCTAAATTACAGAGGAATGAATGAGAAGAACAGACATCCAACGGCTTGGTTGTTGTGGAGAAGCAGCAGATTCACATGTACTCCTTATTCTTTCAATATTTATTTAATTATTTGAAAGGCAGAGTAACAGAGGGTGATGAAAAGACAGAGATCTTCCATCTGCTGGTTCACTCCCAGAGCTCACAGGAGCCAGGGGTAGGCCAGGTTGAAGCCATATGCCTGGAACTCCAGCAGCATCTCCCACATGGGTGGCAGGAACCCAAGTACTTGAGCCATCATCTGCTGTCTCCTAGCCACATGAGCAAGAAGCTGAATTAGAAGTAGAGTAGCTGGAACTTAAATTAGGTACTCTAGCATGGGATAAAGGCATTCCAAGAGGCAGCTTAACCCACTGTGCAACAAAGCCTGCCCCACATTTGTTCTAATGGCACTATAATTAAGAGCCAAAGCAACACAGCCTGACATCCAAGAAGAGGAGTGTAGTGCAACTTACTACAAGAGGAAAGCGATGGGGCCAGTGCTGCGCTGTAGTAGGTTAATCCTCTACCTGCCATGCTTGCATCCCATATGGGTGCTGGTTCAAGTCCCAGCTGCTCCACTTCAAATCCAGCTCCCTGCTAATAGCTTGGCAAAGCAGTGGAAAATGGCCCAAGTGCTTGGGACCCTGCACACATGTACAGGTAGAAGATCCTGGCTCCTGGCTTTGGATAGACCCAGCTCTGGCTGTTATGGCCACTGGGGGAGTAAACCAATAGATAGAAGACCTCTCTCTCTCTGTGTCTCTTTGTCTGTGTCTCTCCCTTGCTCTGTAACTCTGCCTCTGAAATAAATAAATCAATTTCAAAAAAAAAAAAAAAAGAAAGAAAGAAAGAAAAGAAAAAAGAAACAAGAAACCATACTGAACAAGCACGAATCAATTCCTTAAACACACACACACACACACACACACACACAGGAAAGTTACAGGTAACAGAGAACCAATGAAGTAGAAATGAGACTGTTATAAATCGGATAATTTTTCTTTCAGGAAAGTTGGGAAATGACTGAAGACTGCACAGAATGAAAAAAACACTTAGAAAACCTGAACTTGGGGCCGGTGCTGTGGTGCAGTGGGTTAACAGCCTGGCCTAAAACGCAGGCATCCCATATGGGTGCCGGTTCTAGTCCTGGCAGCTCCTCTTCCGATCCAGCTCTCTGCTATGGCCTGGGAAAGCAGTAGAGAATGGCCCAAGTCCTTGGGCCCCTGTACCTGCGCAGGAGATCCGGAAGAAACTCCTGGCTCCTGGCTTCGGATCAGCGTAGCTCTGGCCATTGCAGCCAATTGGGGAGTAAACCATCGGATGGAAGACCTCTCTCTCTCTCTCTCTCTCTCTCTGCCTCTCCTCTGTGTGTACCTCTGACTTTCAAATAAATAAATAAATCTTTAAAAAAAAGAAAAAGAAAAAGAAAAAGAAACCTGAACTCTAGCTCCATCTCTGCCATGAAATAGCTTGTAAGTCAGAGCCATCTACTTGACCTTTGCCTGCCTCCATGTCCTTGTTTGTAATAACACTGGCTATATTTATTTCATAGAGCTATTGCCATGAAAACTAAAATTCTTTTTAGATATAAGACATTTTTACAGTTTTGAGTTAAGACATTGCCAGGCATATATAATTCTAACAGTTAAATAAGGAAAAATGAGTATGTTGTAATTAAAAGTGAAAGAAGCAAAAAAATATATATCATGGGCTCACCACATAACAATTTGCATAAAGACGTGAACCTGCTTCTCCAGAACAAGCAAGCCCTCAGATGTCTGCTTTTCTGATTTAATTCTCTGTAATTTAGGTGTCTTCCTTTTTGCAAAGTAGAAAACTAAAGAGCTTGCCTTCTCCTAAGTGAATCTGAAATCAAAAATGCTGGGGCCAGCATTTTAGTGTAGCCAGTAAGGCAGGCTGCCTGTGATGCTGTCATCCCACATAGGCGCTGGTTCAAATCCCTGCTGTTCCACTTGTGATCCAGCTTCCTACTAATGGCCTGGGAAAAGCAGCAGAAGATGGCCCAAGTGTCTGGGTTTTTGCCACCTACTTGGGAGACCTGCATGAAGTGCCTGGCTTCTGGCTTTGGCCTGGTCCAGCTCTGGCTGTTGTGGCATTTCAGGAGTGAGCCAGTAATGGAAGATCTCTCTCCCTCTCTCCCTGGAACTCTGCCTTTCAAATAAATAAATAAATATTTTTTTTTAAATCATCACTAATTCCAGTTGATAATTCTAAATCAAGTTTATGTCACTCTAAGGTATTTCACCTAAAGACTCATTTCTGTTCTTACCTTTTAATTCCTCTGACAAGTAAAGAAGCCCACGGCTGATGCATAGAAAGGCACCAGCCACCATCAAAGCCTTCCTGAAATTCTTCATCCTGGATTCGTAGCTGATGCTGATGTAAGTTGAACTCTGATCCCAATCTTGCTGAATGGAAAGCCTTCTTCTGTGAGGCTGCACATGTATGATCAACCCACTATACAGTTAAAAAAAAAAAAAAAAAAAACAACAACAACAAAAAAACTCACATATAGTTTTGTCTGACAAGAGAAAAACTTGAGGTAAGGGACAAAATGTGATGACTGATAATAACAAGGAAATCATACTGGAAACATTTTAGGAAAATCCATCCATTTTTCAAAAATAAGGCTAAAAGTATAGAATAGAGTAAATGTAGTAGGATCCCAGCTGAGGGCAACTGGCGGGGCGGATGTCATGGTTTGGTGGGTCAGGTCACTGCCGGGGATGCCTGCATCTTATATGGGAGTGCTGGTGTGAGTGCTGACTACTCTGCTTCCAATTCAGTACAAACATCAGACCAAAAGAGCTTAATTATTTCTACTTCATTCTTTTTTAAAATTTTTTACTTATTTATTTGAGATGTAGAGTTACAGACAGACAAGGGGGCAGGGGCCCAAGCACTTGGGCCATCTTCCACTGTTTTTCCAGGCCATAAGCAGAGAGCTGGATTGGAAGAGGAACAGTGGGGACATGAACTGGTGCTCATATGGGATGCTGATGTGGCTGATGTGTGCACCACAGCTCTGGCCCTCATTCTTTAGCTTTTTTGAAATTTATTTGAGGGGCCAGCACTGTGGCACAGCAAGTTAAGTTGTGCTGCATGCGACGCTGGCATCCCATGAGGACACCAGTTCAAGTCCCGGCTGCTCCACTTCAGATCCAGTTCCCTGCTAATGCACCTGGAAAAGAAGCAGAAGACGACTCACGTCTTTGAGTCCCAACATGCACATGGGAGACATGGATAAAGCTCCTGGCTCCTGGCTTCGGCTTGGACCACCCCTGGTGGTTGCAGCCATTTGGGGAGTGAACCAGTGAATGGAAGATCTCTCTTTGTAATTCTGTCAAATAAATAAATAAATAAATAAATCTTAAAAAAAAAAAAAAGTATTTCAAAGGCAGAGCGTCAGAGATAGAGGGAGAGACAATGAAAGAGATCTTTTATCTGCTAGTTCAGGCCGGCGCCGCGGCTCACTAGGCTAATCCTCCGCCTAGCGGCGCCGGCACACCGGGTTCTAGTCCCGGTTGGGGCGCTGGATTCTGTCCCGGTTGCCCCTCTTCCAGGCCAGCCCTCTGCTGTGGCCAGGGAGTGCAGTGGAGGATGGCCCAGGTGCTTGGGCCCTGCACCCCATGGGAGACCAGGAAAAGCACCTGGCTCCTGGCTCCTGCCATCGGATCAGCGCGCTGCGCCGGCCGCAGCGCGCCGGCCGCGGCGGCCATTGGAGGGTGAACCAACGGCAAAGGAAGACCTTTCTCTCTGTCTCTCTCTCTCTCACTGTCCACTCTGCCTGTCAAAAAAAAATAATAATAATAATATCTGCTAGTTCACTCCTCAAATGTCTGTAACGCCTGGGCAGGGCCAGGCTGAATCCAGGAGCCAGAAACTTATCTGGGTCCCTCATGTGGGTGTAGGGATCCAACTACTTGAGCCATCTTCTGTTGTTTTCCCAGGCACAACAGCAGGGAGCAAGAGCAGAGGTGGAGCAGCCAGGACTTGAACCAGCACTCTGATATGGAATCTGATGTCACAGGCAGTAGCTTAATCTGTTGTGCCACAATGCTGGACCCACTTCATGCTTATTAATGAATCATATTGAATTCTCGGTAAGTTTCCAATGTAATTGCATCAGTCCAATGAAAGTTCAACATTTTGCCCCTAATTCCTCATGTGCTTAGAGACAGAGTCACATGTTGGCAGCATAACAAAGCCAAACAAAAACAAAGGCCACCAGAGGTAGCAATTATGACTATTGGATACATAAAGTATTCTCTTACCCTGAAATGAACAACTTGTACCCTGGAAAAGAGGATGGGGCACTACTGAAACAAGGCTCCCACTATGTAAAGGGAATGGAGAATTACAGGTTACAGGTAATTACAGGAGAATGAGGAGTCTTGGCAAGAGTTCAGTGAGAGAATAACAGAGGTTAATGTTTCTTCCAGAGCCAGAAGACCAAGTGCTTCAAAACTTAAAAATAAATAAATAGTGGAGCCGGAGCTGTGGCATAGTGGGTAAGACCGCTGCATGAAGTGCCAGCATTCCATACAAGTGCCAGTTCAAGTCCTGGCTGCTCTACTTCCAATCCAACTCTCTACTATGGAGTGGGAGAGCAGTGAAGGACAGCCCAAGTCCTTGGGCCCCTCCACTCACGTGGGAGACCTGAAAGAAGCTCCTGGCTCCTGGCTTCAGATTGGTGCAGCTCTGGCCACTGCAGCCAACTGGGGAGTGAACCAGCAGATGGAAGACCTCTCTCTCTCTCTCTGTCTCTCCTTCTCTCTCTGTGTAACTCTGACTTTCAAAAAAATAAAGAAAGAAAATAATCTTAATTATCTTAATTTTAAATAAGAAATTTACGGGAAAAAAAACATGCTAGACTGGAAGTCTGGAGGTCCTAGGCAATCATTTAAATTCAAAAGTTGTCAGTTTCCTCAAATGTAAAAGGATGAGGTTAGATGATATGAGTTTCTTTTTTTCTTTTTTTTTTTTTTTTTTTGACAGGTAGAGTGGACAGTGAGAGAGAGAGAGAGAGAAAGGTCTTCCTTTTTCCATTGGTTCACTCCCCAGTGGTCACTGCGGTCGGCGTGCTGCGGCCGGCGCACCGTGCTGATCTGAAGCCAGGAGCCAGGTGCTTCTCCTGGTCTCCCATGCAGGTGCAGGGCCCAAGGACTTGGGCCATCCTCCACTGCCCTCCTGGGCCACAGCAGAGAGCTGGACAGGAAGAGGAGCGACCGGGACAGAATTTGGTGCCCTGATCAGGACTAGAACTCAGTGTGGTGGCGCCGCAGGCGGAGGATTAGCCTATTGAGCCACGGCACTGGCCAGATGATATAAGTTTCTAAGAATCTTTCCATGGTAAAATTTTATGAATCTCATTGACCAAGTCATATCTTTAAAAATACATTTATAGATCGCTTCTCGGCCTTTTGGCTAAGATCAAGTGTAAAAATATATTTATAGAGGGGCCGGCGCTGTGGTTCAGCGGGTTAACGCCCTGGCCTGAAGCTCCAGCATCCCATATGGACGCCTGTTCAAGTCCTGGCTGCTCTACTTCCCATCCAGCTCTCTGCAATGGCCTGGGAAAGCAGTAGATGATGGCCCAAGTCCTTGGGCTCCTGCACTCATGTGGCGGACCTGGAAGAAGCTCCCGGTTCCTGGCTTCAGATTGGCACAGCTCCAGCCATGCGGCCATCTGGGGAGTGAACCAGCAGATAGAAGACCTCTCTCTCTGTCTCTACCTCTCTCTGTAACTCTGCCTGTCAAATAAATAAAATAAATCTTTAAAAAAATACATTTATAGAGTACTTAACTATGTGAAAAGCACATACACTAGAGAGACACACAGAATATGAGAAAGATATGGTTCCTGCTTTCAAGCAACTTATAATCTTAGTGGAAGACACACATAATAACTAGGGAAAGAAGTACTTATGTGGGGACATAGGAAAAAAATTGCAAGCATGGGGGAAATAAGTGATTTCATGAAAATGTTGGTATCTGAATAATCCTGAGGCACCAAATCTTTATTCAATCTCTACTATGGCTCTTGTCGCTAATCACACAGCCATTTTCCTAAATTAAGTCCTCACTGTCTTTCAGTAATACTATTACAGAACTTGCTAACTATTCTCATCTGCATTTTTAGTCTTTTTTTTTTTTTTTTTAAGATTTATTTGAAAGGCAGAGTTACAGACAGGGAGAGAGAGGGAGCTCTTCTAGTTGCTGGTTCACTCTCCAAATGGCCACAATAGCTGGGGCTGAACCAGGATGAAGCCAAGAGCCAAGAACTCCATTTGGATCTCCTATTTGGGTGCCGGGGCCCAATATTTGGCCATCTTTTGTTGCTTTCCCATTAGCAGGGAGCCAGAATGGAAGTGAAGCAGCTGGGACTCAAACCGGCTTCCAAATGGGATGCATTGCAGGTGACAGTCAACCTGCTGTGCCACAACACCAACCCCTATCTTTAGTCTTCAAATAACTCTCTACTGTCCTCTTACTATTATAACACTAACTGAGGCCCGCATCATCTCCCCATGTGCTACTGCAATAAACTTCATAGTAAACTTCCTTTTTCTATTGTTACCTTTCCTTCTAATTCATTCTCTACAAAGGCATGGAAGTCATGCTAATCTTCTGTTACAATTCTTCAATTTAAAACTCATTAAGGACTCCTCCTTGCCTATTTTAGGATAAAACTTGAATGCATGAGACATAAGGACCTTCACGATCAGGCGTTGCTCCTACTGTATGAGGTTGAGTGGTATCCCTCTGAAATTTATGCAATCTATGAGTATGACCTTTGTAGATATAATCAAGTTAAGATGAAGTCACTCTGGATTATGATGACCCTAAATCTAACGCTAGAGAAGACACAGAAACAGACAAAGGGAAGAGGCCCCATCAATATAGAGGCAGAGACTGGAATGATGCAGCTACAAGCCAAGAGATGCCTGAGGCCACCAGAAATTGAAAGAGATAAGGAAGCATTCTTTTGCAAAGCCTTCAGAGGGAATGTGGCCCTGTCAAGATCTTGATTTGGACTTCTATATTCCAGTTAAAAGAGAATAAGTTTCTAATGTCTTCATTAACCCAGTTTGTGGTAATTTGTTAGGGCAGTCCTAGGAAATGAATACAACCACCATCCATAACCATATTTTATCACGTGTGAGGCCCCCAGACTCATAGTGCTCTCAAACTGCTGAGCCTTTGCACATGTTGTACCTTCTGCCTGGAATTCTCTTCCCAGATTTGTCTGCTTGGAAATTCCCAGGCACCCCTTAAGTCTCCTCTCAAACACTGTTTCTTTTAAAACTCTTCCAGCAGATTTATAAAAATTCTAAAGTCTTACTGTATCTATGATATATATCTATTCTAACAACTAACTTAAAAGAATTATATTCATACACATCTTCCCATAACCTTGAAGTCCTTAAAGACAGAAGTTAGGTCTTTATCTTTTAATTTCTCAGTAGCTAGCACAGAAGCTGGCACACAGACAGTGCTGAATGAATGTCTCCAGGTAAGCAGTTCACAGCATTACTCTGACTGCATCTGTCTGCTTAACTTTCTATGGCTCACATTTATTTATCAAATAAAAACATTAAAACTTCCTTTCTAAACATTAAGATCTTAAGAGATCTGGTCCTAACTACCTAACCTATTCTACTTCTCATGATAATCCATTTTAGAAATTCTAGCTGGGTAGCCTATATTCACTATTATGTATACATATACACACACACACACACACACACACACACACCTCTCCTATGTCTTCATATGCACATGCCTTCTTTGTTCCTACAGTTCATTCTACCTATAGTATTTTTCCAACATCCACAAACATTAATTTTATTGAATATTTACTTTTGATGAATGCAAGCTTCCTTATGAAAACCTCTTTGGTTTCCCTCAACTGGAAGTAGTCTATCTCTCTTTCAGGTTTCCAGACTACTTTATTTACACTCTATTAATAATAGAGCTGCTTATACAATTTTTTAAAAAGAGGTTCATTTATCTATTTGAAAAGCAGAGTGCCAGAGAGAAAAGGGGCAACACAGAGAGAGAGATTTTCCATTTGCTGGTTCACTCCCCAAATGGCCAAAATGGCCTTGGTTGGGCCAGGCCAAAGCCAGGAGCCTGAAACTCAATTCTCATTCCTACATGACTGGCAGGGGCCCAAGTACTTAAGCCAAATTCTGTTTTCCCAGGTACATTAGCAAAGAGCTGGATTGGAAGTGGTGCAGCTGGCGCTTGAACCAGTGCACACATGGATGCCAGTGCCACAGGGTGGTAACTTAACCAGTTGTGAAATGACACTGGCCCACTGCTAATGAATATCTTTTCCCCTATGAGTTTGTGAGCTCTTTGAGGACAGAGTCACTGATTGATCATTTACTAGTGTGTTTGTCCATGGCAGATACTCAATGTATTTGATAGAAAAATGAATGACAACAATGACTGAATTAATAAATATTTTTAAAACAGCATTCTACAGGACTACTCATATTCATAAAAAATAGAAGAGAAGACCATGAGGTCATTGTCTACATTTCTGTGGTATTTAACAAAAACTTCTTTTGGGAAACACTCAGAAAAGACAGGTCAGAAGTGCTGAAAAAAAAAAAAAAAGTAGAATAAATTGGGCCAGAAAATAAGTTTTGCAGGTGTGTTCAGAGTAGATTTGGTATTTAAAGACTTTGGGGCCGGCGCTGTGGCTCAATAGGCTAATCCTCCACCTAGCGGCGCCGGCACACCGGGTTCTAGTCCCGGTCGGGGCCCCGGATTCTTTCCCGGTTGCCCCTCTTCTAGGCCAGCTCTCTGCTGTGGCCAGGGAGTGCAGTGGAGGATGGCCCAAGTGCTTGGGCCCTGCACCCCATGGGAGACCAGGAGAAGCACCTGGCTCCTGCCTTCGGATAAGCGCGGTGTGCCGGCCGCAGCACGCCAGCGGTGGCGGCCATTGGAGGGTGAACCAACGGCAAAGGAAGACCTTTCTCTCTGTTTCTCTCTCTCACTATCCACTCTGCCTGTCAGATAAAAATAGAATAACGAAAAACAAAAAAGACTTTGGGAACGACCACCATTTGGAGAAGAAGTATTCAAGGTCAAACTTATCTTATTATCCATGAAAGCAAAGGTCCACTAACCTGGGGAGGGGGCTGGTACAGGTTGGGATTCACCAAAACTCCCAAAGGGTCTTCAGAAGATCTATCCAATTTGATCTGTGGCTGGTTCAAAGTTCCATTGGCAATGGCCTGTATTGCCTCATCTAGTCTGTGGTAACAAACCAAAAGGATGCAATAATTGATAATGTTCTGTGCTCAGAATGTCCTTACTTACCAACAACCTAAAACAGTAGTAACATCTGGAATTCAAAGTCCATGGATAATATTTCCTGTTTCCCACTCCAACTTCTTTCTCTTCATACCAAAAACCCTAAGGAATGTGTATTAGTAAAAGTTGTAGAACATCAAGAAAACAGGTAATCATTCATCCATTTAATAAGATCACTAAACATGCAAATAGTAGAAAAGCTGCCTAGAAATATCCTGACACACAGAAGAGTACTCTACCCAGCTTATGTATTCAGTATACCCCTACAAGTTACTCCTCTATCTACTAAGGAGTACTTTCCATTCCTCCATACTTATCTGAATTTCATTCTTCCTTCAAGTTTAAGAAGTTCTAGAGAGGCCCTCAAGGGCCCAATATAAAAGTCCTTCCTCCTTTCTCTAATGCCCTGCTAAGTAATCATTGGATACATCCCAGGTTACCCTGTGCCTACCCTACTGCTGGATTTGGGTATTTGACTGTAAACCTATAAAAGAATGTGGCAGGCTTCTTCTAAAGATTGTGCAATACTATTGTTTTATTTTTTTAAATAGATTTATTTATTTATTTGAAACGCAGAGTTACAGAGAGGCAGAGCCAGAGAGAGAGAGGTCTTCCATCTGCTGGTTCACTCCCCATATGGTTTACCCCCCAAATGGCTGCAACGGCCAGAGTTGTGCCGATCCGAAGCCAGGAGCCAGGAGCTTCTTCCAGGTCTCCCATGTGGGTGCAAGGGCCTAAGCACTTGGGTCATCTTCTACTGCTCTCCTAGGCCATAGCAGAGAGCTGGATTGTAAGTGGAGCAGTCGGGACTCGAACCAGCACCCATATAGGATGCTGGCACCTCAAGCGGCTGCTTTACCCAATATACTGCAGCACCAGCCCTTCCTATTGTTTTTTTTTGTTTTTTTTTTTTTTTTTTTTTATTTTGACAGGCAGAGTGGACAGTGAGAGAGAGAGAGAGAGAAAGGTCTTCCTTTGCCGTTGGTTCACCCTCCAATGGCTGCCGCGGCCGGCGCGCTGCGGCCGGCGCAGCGCGCTGATCCGATGCCAGGAGCCAGGAGCCAGGTGCTTTTCCTGGTCTCCCATGGGGTGCAGGGCCCAAGCACCTGGGCCATCCTCCACTGCACTCCCTGGCCACAGCAGAGGGCTGGCCTGGAAGAGGGGCAACCGGGACAGAATCCGGCGCCCCGACTGGGACTAGAACCCGGTGTGCCGGCGCCGCTAGGCGGAGGATTAGCCTAGTGAGCCGCGGCGCCGGCCCTATTGGTTTCTAAGAGGCCCCACAGTAACCCTGTCTTATTCAATTCTATAGCTCTATGTTATTTGCTGCTGTATTCCATGACCCTGTTGAATGCTTGACAAACATTTGTGGATGATGATAAAGATAATTTTGAGGCACAACACAATGAAAACAGAAAAGGCTGAATTTGACTTTGAATTCAATTCAAATATATTTCATTAGGAATCTCTTAGATGTAATGCAACTTAAAAGGCTAGAGGACATAGTTCCTGCCTTTAAGAAGCTTTGCCCCTAGTGGCAGGTTTAAGCTACACAGATGCTAAACCCCACGTGAAGGGCAGTGATAATCACCGTGAGGCACAACCCCACTGGGGGTTACTGTCCCATCAATCCACAGGTCGTATCAAGTCAGTGCAAGGGAGAGGATTCTCAAACTGAGGGAAAAGCAGAAACAAAGGCATGAAGCCCAAAGAAAATATAGAGAGAGTACAGAGAATTTGAGGCATGAGACAAGTCTGTAATAACAAGAAGACAGTAGGATTTGAAGGAAGGAAACAGATTTGAGACACAGTGTAGAGGCAGATATACAGAACTCTAGAATCTGTAAAAGGGATAATACAAACAGCTAAGCAATACATTTCTAGAATGCTTAAGCATACTAGCATATAACTAAAGGAAATGTGAATAAAAATTATGATTAAATATAATTTTGATGTGTTAAAATGAGTATTTAAAAAATCTGCGGAGCCGGCACCATGGCTCACTTGGCTAATCCTCCACCTGCGGTGTCAGCATCCCATATAGGCACCAGGTCCTAGTCCCGGTTGCTCTTCTTCCAGTCCAGCTCTCTGCTGTGGCCCAGGAAGGCAGTGAAGGATGGCCCAAGTGCTTGGGCCCCTGCACCCGCATGGGAGACCAGGAGGAAGCACCTGGCTCCTGGCTTTGAATTGGCACAGTGCCGGCCGTGGCAGCCATTTGGGGAATGAACCAACAGAAGGAAGACCTTTCTCTCTGTCTCTCTCTGTCTGTAATTCTTCCTGTCAAATAAATAAATAGAATCTTAAAATAAATAAAAATTAAAAAAAATCTGTTTGCAAGAAAAGAAGAAATTTTCATCTTGATAACCAGTGTGTACACTAATAAGTGTACACTGATAAGTCAAAAAGTATGCACAATTTAAATTCTAAGATATTGCCCAATTTCTCCTGTAAAAGAACGTACCATTTTTTGGTTGTTAAAGGCTTTATTTTTATAGCAGTTTTAGGTTAATAACAAAATCAAGAGGAAGATACACAGATTTCCCATATAGCCTCAGTCTCCAAACCTATAAAGCCTCTTGCGATCAATATTCCCCACAAGTATGATACATTCATTACAACTGACGGACCCACACTGGCACATCATCACCACCAAAAACCAGTTATATTAGAACTCACTCTTGGTGTTGTACATTTTATGAGTTTGGACAAATTCATATAGACATATAGTTACAAGTATAGTTGTATAAAAAATTAGTTTCACTACCTTAAAAAACCTCTGTGTTGGGGCAGCGCTGTGATGCAGTGGGTTAATGCCCTGGCCTAAAGCATCCCATATGGGCGCCAGTTCTAGTCCCGACTACTCCTCTTCCAATCCAGCTCTCTGCTATGGCCTGGGATAGCAGTAGAAAAGGGCCCAAGTCTTTGGGCCCTGCAACCACATGGGAGGTCCGGAAGAAGCTCCTGGCTCCTGGCTTTGGATCGGCGCAGCTCCGGCCATTGCGGCCATCTGGGGAGTGAACCAGCGGATGGAAGACCTCTCTCTCTGTCTCTACCTCTCTCTGTAACTCTTTCAAATAAATAAAATAAATCTTTAAAAAAAAAAAAAATCCTTTGTGTTCCACCCACTTACTCCTTCCTCTCTTCTAACTCTGCCAACCATTGCATAGTAGGAGTCACATAGTATATTGGTTCTATCATTTTATTTAAATAATTTTTTAAATATTTATTTATTTATTTTAAGGTCAGAGTTACAGATAGAAAGGAAGAGACAGAGAGAAAGAAACAGATTTCTATCCACTCCTCAGATGGCTGCAATGGCCATGGCTGAGTGAGGCCGAAGCCAGGAGCCAGGAGCTTCATCCAGGTCTGCCATATAAGTGACAGTGGCCCAAATAATTGGGCCATCTTCTGCTGCTTTCCCCAGGCTATCAGCAGGGAGCTGGATTGGAAGTGGAGGAGCCAGGACACGAACTGTCCCTCATATGGGTGGCCAGCATCACAAGTAGTGGCTTTATCCACTATGCTACAACACCAACCCCTTATTTTTATAATTTTTTTAAAATTTATTTTTATATTTGAAAGGATACACAACAGGCCGGTGCCGTGGCTCACTAGGCTAATCCTCCGCCTTGTGGCGCCAGCACACCGGGTTCTAGTCCCGGTCGGGGCCCTGGATTCTGTCCTGGTTGCCCCTCTTCCAGGCCAGCTCTCTGCTATGGCCCGGGAGTGCAGAGGAGGATGGCCCAAGTGCTTGGGCCCTGCACCCCATGGGAGCCCAGGAGAAGCACCTGGCTCCAGATCAGCGTGATGCGCCGGCCGCAGTGTGCTGGCCACGGCGGCCATTGGAGGGTGAACCAACAGCAAAAGGAAGACCTTTCTCTCTGTCTCTCTCTCTCACTGTCCACTCTGCCTGTCCAAAAAAAAAAAAAAAAAAAAAAAAAAGATACACAAGAGACAGAGACCAAGAGGTCTTCTCTACTGGTTCACTTCCCAAATGCCTGCAACAGGGAGCTGGACCAGAAGTGGAGCAGCCAGGACACAAACTGGCACCCATATAGGATGCCGGGGGATGCCGGCACTGCAGGAGGTGACTTAACCTGCACTGCCACAATGCTGCTCCCACATGGAACTCTTTAGCCAAGTTTATTATCATAGTATGGTTTGCAGTATAGATGTAATTTTTTCTCCCAAATCAGTGGTCAATCACTCCAACGTCACATATTTAATCCTGTCCTTACTGCTTAAAAATGTTGGCTTTACTGGCCAGTGAAGTAGCACAGCAAGTGAATCTGCCGGCATTTCATATGAGTGCCAGTTCGAGTTCTGGATACTCTGCTTCTGAGCCAGCTCCCTGCTAATGTGCTTGGGAAGGCAGCAGAAGATGATCCAAGTCCTTGTACCCGTGCCACCCATATTGCAGGCCCAGATGGAATTCCAGGTTCCTGGCTTTGGCCTGGCCCAAACCCAGTCAGGTGGCCATTTAGGAATTGAACCAGTGGATGGAAGATCTATTTGTCTCTCTCTGTTTCTCTCTTTCTGTCTGTCTGTCTCTCTCTTTCTGTGACTCTGCCCTTCAAATAATAAATATCTCAAGTTAGCTTAATTGATTATTAAATTCATATACAAACATATATATATAAACACAATGTAAATATACTGGTCTCTTTCTAAACCTTATTGTTTATTGATCTATTCTTATGTCTAAACAGTACCTTATTTAAAAAAGTTTTTAGGGGCCAGTGCTGTGGCAAAGCAGATAAAGAGGCCACCCGCAGTACCAGCATCCTATATGGATATTGGTTCGAGTCGCAGCTACTCCACTTCCTATCCAGCTTTCTGCTATGTCCTGGGAAAGCAGTAGAAGATGGCCCAAGTACTTGGGCCCCTGCACCTATGTGGGAGACCCGGAAGAAACTCCCGGCTCCTGGCTTGGGATCAGCACAGCTCCAGCCATTGCAGCCAACTGGGGAGTGAACCAATAGATGGAAGACCTCTCTCTCTTTGCCTCTCCTCTCTCTGTGTAACTCTTTCAAATAAATAAATTAATTTTAAAAAAGTAACAGTAACCATCTAATAAGAGAAATTCCCTTCACTGTTAATTTTCAAAATTCCTTAGCTACTCCTACATGTTTCCTATTCCAAATAAACATTTTATTTTATAAATCACCAAAACAGATCTATTAGAGAAAGAAAACCCTTTACAGTCAACCTACTCTTCTTTCAGACTGTTTCTGGCACCACTCACTTACCTGCTGTGATACTCTGCTAGTGGATTTTCTTCTTCCAGGATCTTCCGACCTGCAAAGTCAATGGTGACCTTCTTAGAGAGTCGAGAGGCATGTCGAAGCTCTCTCAACTCTTCCTCTCGTTTCTGCAGGGCTTCCCGCTCAACTTTGGACAACCACTGGTTAGAATCACTGGCAAAGTAATCTGACTCATCATCAATGACTTGGGTCCTTCGAATGCTAAGAAAAAAAAGCACATGGCAATTAGGTCTATTGAAAAGGACAGCCTACTAGGAACTGTTTCAAGGGAGCTTACTCTTCTGTTATGGAGGTTATTGTCTGATATACAGGTAAAGCTGCTGCCTGTCATGCTGGTATCCCATATAGACACTGGTTCAAGTCCTGGGTTCTCCACTTCCCATCCAGCTCCCTGCTAAGGCATCTGGGAAAGCAGTGGAAGATGGTCCAAGTGCTGGGCCCCTGAACCCATATGGGAGACCTAGATGAAGCTCTTGGCTTCTGGCATTGGGCCCAATCCAGCCTTGGATGTTGCTATTAGCTGGTAACATGGTAGCCATAAAAAAAAAAAAAAAAAAAAAAGGATGCTAGGTGCGACACTTTTTTTAAAGATTTATTATTTATTTGAAAGGCAAATTAGAGAGAAGGAGAGATAGGGGCTGTGGGGGTGACAGAGAGAAAGAGAAAAAAAAATCTTTCATTTGCTGGTTTACTCCCCAAATGGCAGCAAAGATGGGGTTTGTTCCAGGCTGAAGCCAGGAACCAGGAGCTTCATCCAGGTCTACCTTATTAGTGCAGGGGCCCAAGCACTTGGGTCATCTTCTGCTGCTTTCCTAGATGCATTAGAAGGGAGCTGGAATGAAAGTGGAGCAGCAAGGACTCAAACTGGTGCCCAAATGGGATGACAGTACTGCAGGCCATGGCTTTACTGCACTTCGCCAAAGTGCCGCCTTGGCCTGAATCCCAGCTCTGCTCCCAATTCCAACTTCCTGCTAATTCACAGCCTGGGAGACAAGAAGCAATAGCTTAAGCAGTTGGGTCCCTGCCACTCTTTTTTTTTTTTTTTTTTCATTTATTTATTTGGAAGTCAGAATTACACAGAGAGAAGGAGAGGCAGAGAGAGAGAGAGAGAAAGAGAGAGAGAGAGGGGTCTTCCATCCGCTGGTTCATTTCCCAGTGGGCCAAAATGGCCAGAGCTGCACTGATCTGAAGCTTTTTTAAAAGTAGAGTAGGGGGGACGGGTGCCATGGCTCATTTGGTTAATCCTCTGCCTGTGGCACCAGCATCCCATATGGGCACCAGGTTCTAGTCCCGGTTGCTCCTCTTCCAGTCCAGCTCTCTGCTGTGGCCCGGGAGGGCAGTGGAAGATGGTCCAAGTGCTTGGGCCCCTGCATCCGCATGGGAGACTGGGAAGAGGCACCTGGCTCCTGGCTTCGGATCAGCGCAGCAACAGCCGTAGCAGCCATTTGGGGAATGAACCAATGGAAGAAGACCTTTCTCTGTCTCTCTCTCTCACTGTCTATAACTCTACCTGTCAAATAAAAATAATAATAATAAAAAAAGTAGAGTAGGGGCTGGCACTGTGGCGTAGTGGGTAAAGCCACTGCCTGCAGTACCAGTATCCCATATGGGTGCTAGTTTGAGTCCTGGCTGCTGCACTTCCAATCCAGCTCTCTGTTGTGGCCTGGGAAGATGGCCCAAGTCCTTGGGCCCCTGCACCCACATGGGAGACCTGGAAGAAGCTTCTAGCTTCTGACATTGGATCAGCTTAGCTCCAGCTGTGCAGCCATTTGGGGAGTGAACCAGCAGATGGAAGATCTCTCTCTCTCTCTCTCTCTCTCTCTCTCTGCCTCTGCCTCTCTGTAGCTCTGCCTTTCAACTAAATAAACAAATCTTAAAAGAAGAAAAAAAGGACAATAGAGGGGCCAGTGTTGTAGTATAGTGATTTAAATTGCCACCTGCATCAGCATCCTGTAAGAGTGCTAGTTCAAGTTTTGGCTGCTCCACTTCATATCTAGTCTCCTGCTAATGTGCCTGGGGAGGCAGCAGAGGATGGTTCAAGTTCTTGGGCCCCTGTACCCACGTGGGAGACCTGGATGAAGCTATTAGCTCCTGGCTTCAGCCTGGCACAGCCCTGGCCATTGTAGCCATTTGGGGAGTGAACCAGCAGGTGGAAGACCTCTCTTTCTTTCTCTCTCTCTCTCCCTCCCTCTCTCTCTTTCTCTGTAACTCTGCTTTTCAAATAAAAATAAAATAATTTTTTAAAAAAATAGGGTAGAAAGCTGAAGAGACTCAGAAAGAAATTGGTCTTATGTTAATAAGATCAGTTTCAAACCTAGATAATGAAATTAATACCCTTGAACACACCAGCAAAGCAGCAACATTAACAGGGGAGGCCATTTTCTAGTTTGTGTTTATGAAGAAATACATTATATTTCTAATGACAAGTTTTACTGAATAGGACCAAATGAGACACTTAAAGGGTTAAGAATGAACAGAATTCACACATCATGTGATGGCCATTCTTAAGGAATAGCTTTCCAAATTCTATCTCATATATTTAGAGCAAATGGTTTGGAACCAGTAAGGGTGTCTCACCAAAGGATTGTAATGCCAGGAATAGGCTTCCAGGTTAGTTACAATAAGTAAGAGCTCTGAGGTCTAGGGACCCTCACAGATTCCCATGATTATGTAAGAAGGGAACATATTAAGTATCATCCAGAAATTATTGAGCCCAGTGCAGTGGCGTAGGTTAAGCCTCTGCTTGCAGCGCTGACATAACATATGGGCACCAGTTTGAGTTCCGGCTGCTCTACTTCCCATCCAGCTCCATGGAAACGGCCTAGGAAAGCAGTGGAAGATGGCCTAAGTGCTTGGGCCCTGCACCCGCATGGGAGACCAGGAGGAAGCTCCTGGCTCCTGGCTTCAGACTGGCGCAGCACGCCGGCCTTAGCGGCCATTTGGGGGGTGAACCAACGGAAGGAAGACCTTTCTCTCTGTCTCTCTCTCTTTCACTGTCTAACTCTGCCTGTCAAAATAAATAAATAAATAAATAAAAGAAATGTAGTATCAAAGGGAGAGAAAGGGGACGGCACTGTGGTGTAGTGGGTACAGCTACCACCCGCAGTACCAGCATCCCATATGGGTGCTGGTTCAAGTCCCAGCTGCTCCACTTCCAATTCTGCTGTCTGCTGTGGCCTGGGAAAGCAGTGGAAGATGGCCCAGGTCTTTGGGCTTCTGCACCTGCCTGGGCGACCTGGAGGGAGGCTCTTGGCTCCTAGTTCCGGATCGGCTTTGCTCTGACAGTTGCAGCCATTAGGGGAGTAAACCAGCAGATGGAATACCTCTTTCTTTCTGCCTCTGCCTCTCTATAAGTCTGCCTGTCAAATAAATGGATAAATCTTAAAAAAAAAAAAAAAAGGGAAAGGGAAGAGTAAATCAAGCTTTCTTAGGGCATGACATTATCTAGGCTCTCCCAGAGGCAATTATCAAATTCCCTAACTTGGTAGTTAGTGAATGGTAGGGTCTATAGTATAGCAGTGTGTCCCAAAATGGTGTTTCGGTCAGTGACAGACCACATATACATACAATGGTGGTCCATAAGACTGTAACACAGCCAAAAAATTCCTATCACCTAATGACACTGAAGCCATTGTAATGTGACAGCATAAAGTATTACTCACATATCTATAAATCTACTATACTGCCAGTCATGTAAAAATATAGCACATACAATTAGGTAGAATATATAATGCTTGATAATAAACAATATTACTATATTATCTATTTATATCATCATACTTTTATAATTAGAGTATTGCTTCAACGAAGAAAAAAAGTTTATCATACAACAGTACGCCACGTTAAGTCTGAAGCAGATTCATACATCTTATGAGTGCTGTGTCTCTTGATTGCATCATTTCTTCTTGTGCTCCATTTTTGTTGTTTTGCACATCCTGGCCCCATATGTAATACACTGTACCATATATATATATATATATATATTCCATATGGTCTAGATGTATAATAGACTATATCATCTAGGTTTGTGTAAGTACACTCCATGATGTTCATGCAATGATGCAACTGCCTAATGATGCATTTTCAAACTATACCCCTCTAGTTAAGGGATGCTTAACTATCTGTGTTGATTGAATGAATGAATGACTGCAAATGGAACAAGTGTGGAATTCTGTCAACCCAAATCAGCTGTCCAGGGATTACATCAGCATTTTTGCCAAGAATCAAAAAATGCTACATGATGGGATTTTCTTGGTGGGAGCCTATCTTAATGAAACATGGATTAAAAAATAAGAGGTAGGCCTGCTAAGTAAAACATCCAGCACTTTTGCTGAAAACCCTTTCACACACCACCTTTGGTATCAAGTATCAAAACAATATTTTAATGGCCAGAATCTGTGGACTAGTGGTAGCGTCTGTTACTCTGTCATACCTAGTTCTGTCAAACTCCAACAGTTTATCCTTATGCTTGATAGCCTTCTCCAGACCAGACTTAATGCGTAATTCTTGATGAGGAAGAAGGTCTTGGGAAGAGATGTCCATCTTTACAGAGTTGTCTGCCCCTGAAATTCAATATGGAAATCAAAGGTGTCAGCCAAACAAATTAGTTGCATTAATGTGCAGCAAAGAACAAAATATCTACATGTCTCATTCTGGCCAGATGGCCTGAGATACTCATTTCAATGGAAAAGAAACAATCACACAGGCTAGGCCTTACCTGGAAAACATCAAGTAGTGTTTGGCACATAATCAGTTCTCAATAAATATTAGGGTCCTTTTCTTCCCTTTTAGAAATTTGGATTGGGGCTGGTGTTGTGGCAGAGTGGGTTAAGCTGCTGCTTGGGATGATAGCATCCCATGGTGAAAAGCTGAACTGAGTGCCAGCTGCTCCACTTCTGATCCAGCTCCCTGCTAATGTGCCTGGGATAGCGTAGGATGATGGTCCAAAGGCCACCCATAAGGGAGACTACAATAGAGTGCCTGGCTCCTGGATTTGGCCTGGCCCAGCTCTGGCAGTTGCAGCCATTTGGGAGAGTGAACCAGCAGATGACAGCTCTCTCTCCCTTTCAAATAAGTAAATTTTTAAAAAAAATTTGACCACAAAGATTAACCAACATTAACAACACAGCATAAACAAAACAAAGATTAACAACACAGCATAAAAATGCCTTATAAAAGTGTTTTGCCTAGAGTTTAGGGTGCTTTCATCCTATATCAGAGTGTGACTGGCTTCTGACTCCAGCTTACTGCCAACACAGATTCTGGCGGAGCCAGCGCTGTGGTGTAACAGGTTAAGCTGCCGCCTGCAACTCCGGCATCCCATATAGGTGCCGATTCAAGTATCAGCTGTTCCACTTCCCATCCAGCTCCCTGCTAATGCACCTAGGAAAACTATGGAGGACGGCCCAAATGCTTGGGCCCCTGCATCCTGTTAAGAGACTCAGAAGTTGTTCCTGGCTCCTGACTTTGGCCTAGCCCAGCCCCAGCTATGTGGATGTTTGGGGAGTGAACTAGCAGATAGAAGATCTGTCTGTCTCTAACTCTGCCTTTCAAATAAATAAAATAAATCTTAAAAAAAAAAAAATGCAGACCCTGGGAAGCAGTGATGGCTCAAGTAACTGGTTTTCCTCCACCCATGCGGGAGAACTAGATTGAGTGGCTAGCTCCTGGCTTCAGATTGACCCAGCCTGGAATGTTGTGGGCATGTGAAGAATGAACTAACAGATGGGGGCTCTTGCTGGCTGTGTTTCTTTCCACCTCTCAAATGAAAATGAGAGAGGGTGGTGGGTGGGAGGGACGGTATAGGGGGGAAAGCCATTGTAACCCATGAGACGTACTTTGGAAATTTATATTCATTAAATAAAAGATAAAAAAAATAAAATAAAATGCATTCAAAAAAAAAAATGAAAATGAGAAAAATTTCAAGAGAAGGGCATAAGTGAATAATTAACGAGCACCTAGTAGATGATACTAAGAAACAATATAAACCATATTATTTAATTCTTACAATAGCCCTGTAAGACAGTTTGTATTATCTTTGCTTTACACATGTGGATACTGGAGTTCAGAAATGATAATAAATTTACTGAGTTCATTCAGTTAGGAATTAGAAAGTAGAAACACGGCTGGTGCTGTGGTGTACTGGGTTAAACAGTTTCCTATGGCACCAGCATCCCATATGGGTGCCAGTTCCAGTCCCAGCTATTCTACTTCCGATCTAGCTCCCTGTTGATGTATCCGGGAGGACAGATGGCCTAAGTCCTAAGCCCCTGCCACCCCTGTGGGACATCCAGATGAAGCTCCTGGCTCCTTACTTTGGTCTGGCCCAGCCCTGGCTGATGAGGTCATTTGGGGAATGAATCAGCAGATGGAAGATCTCTGTCTCAGCCTTTCTTTCTGTAACTCTGCCTTTTGAATAAAATAAATAATTTTTTAAAGATTTATTGGGGCCGGCGCTGTGGAGTAGCAGGTAAAGCCGCCGCCGCAGTGCTAGCATCCCATATGTGTGCCAGTTAGAGTCCCGGCTGCTCCACTTCTGAGCCAGCTCTCTGCTATGGCCTGGAAAGGAGCACAAGATGGCCCAAGTCCTTGGGCCCCTGCACACACATAGGAGAACCGGAAGAAGCCCCTGGCTTCTGGCTTCAGATTGGCCCAGCTCCAGAAATTGCAGCCATTTGGGGAGTGAGCCGGTGGATAGAGGACCCCTATCTCTCTCTCTTTCTCTCTCGGCCTCTGCTTCTCTGTAATTCTGCCTTTCAAATAAATCTAAAAACAAACAAACAAAAAAAAAAAAACAAAAAAAAAACAGGCCAGCACCGTGGCTCACTAGGCTAATTCTCCACCTGCGGCACCAGCACTCTGGGTTCTAGTCCCGGTTGGGGTGCCGGATTCTGTCCCAGTTGCTCCTCTTCCAGTCCAGCTCTCTGCTGTGGCCCGGGAAGGCAGTGGAGGATGGCCCAAGTGCTTGGGCCCTGCACCTGCGTTGGAAACCAGGGGGACGTGCCTGGCTCCTGGCTTCAATTCGGCGCAGTGCGCCGGGCGTAGAGGCCATTTGGGGAGTGAACCAACGGAAGGAAGACCTTTCTCTCTGTCTCTCTCTCTCTCTCTCTGTCTAATTCTGCCTGTCAAAAACAAACAAACAAAAAACCTGCAATTATAACAAATCAAGTTAAAAGGCTGTTTTTAGCCACTAAAAATAAATATGAATAATATATAGCAATATAGAAACTTAGTTGTGAAATATTAACTGAAAAAATGGAATCATAAAGTTTACACTTTGTGATTGCCATTTTATAATGCTAACCAATCTGTCTATATAAAACAAAAACAGGGTGGTATTTGGTACAGCAATGAAGAAGGCTTTTGAGACGCCTACATCCCATGTCATGATCCTGTGTTTGAGTTCTGACACCACAACTGCTTCTAGCTTCCTATTAACGCACACGCTATGAGACAGTCTGTCACTGACCAAGTGGCTGGGTCCCTGCTACCTACATGGGAGACCTAGTGTGAGACCGTTCCTGGCTGTTATGGGAAACTGGGGAGCAAACCAGTAGATGGTATATCTCTCCCTTGTCTGTCTTTCTCTCTTTCAAATAAATAAACAAATAAAAAAAAAAAAAACCAAGTTTGAACTAAGGTAAAACAAATTAAAATATTTGCCTAAGTAGGACATAAGGACTATATTGTTTTTCTTTTTATCCTTATTTGGGGCTGGCATTGTGGCATATCAGGTAAAGTCACCACCTGCAACACCAGCATCCCATATGGGTACCAGTTCATGTCCCAGCTGCTCCACTTCCAATCCAGCCCTCTGCTAATGGCCTAGGAAAAGCAGCAGAGGATGGTGCAAGTACTTGGGCCCCAACCACCCACGTGGGAGACCTGGATGGAGTTCCAGGCTTCTGGCTTCAACCTGGCCTAACACTGGTCATTGTAGCCATCTGGAGAGTGAGCCAGCAGACAGAAGATTTCTCTCTCTCTCCCTCTCTCTCTGTAATTTGGACTTTAAAAGTAAATAAATAAATCTTTTTAAAAATCCTATTTATTTATTTGAAAGGCAGAGTGAAAGAGAGACAGAGAGGTCTCCCACATGGGTAGCAGGGCACCAGATACTTGGACCATCACATGCTGCTTTCTCAGATGCATTAGCAGGAAGCTAGATCAGAAGCAGAGCTTCTAGAACTGAAAATCAGCACTGAAATGGGATGCTGGCCTCACAAACTGTGACTTAACCAGCTACACCACAACACTGGCCCCTAAAAATATCCTTAACTACTTTTGTTAGGTGTTTTTCAAGTATAAAAGATTTAAGAGAGTTAATGTCTTATCAGTTCTAAGAAATGAACATCATTACCATACTACCAACTAAATTATAGATGGATTTTACACTTCTCTCATCACTCTCATTTCTCTATTCTAATATCCAGTTCAGGATCCACATCACATTTAGTTGTCATTTCTCCTTAGTCTACTCCAATCTGTGACATTTCTTCAGTATTATCTTTCATGATCTTGTCAATCTCTCATTATTAAATTTTCATCCAACAATTTCAGCATCCATTATTGCCTATAGCAATTACTACTGTGATATTCTACTGGTCATTTTTCTATTATCCTCACGTCTCCTACTTTATTTATCAGACTTCTTCTCAAAGAAAGAGTGGTCCCTTCTTCCCAAATGCTTAGTGCATTCAGTCACTCATTTATATGAAGATGGTCTTGTGAATGTTAACTCTATTCTTTGGTTCATAATCTAATACCATAATTATCTATTTTGTTGTTCAGTGTGATATAGTCTTAACTTTTTTTTTTTTTTTTTTTTTTTTTGACAGGCAGAGTGGACAGTGAGAGAAAAAGAGAGAAAGGTCTTCCGTTTGCCATTGGTTCACCCTCCAATGGCCGCTGCGGCCGGCACACCATGCTGATCCGAAGCCAGGAGCCAGGTGCTTCTTCCTGGTCTCCCATGCAGGTGCAGGGCCCAAGCTCTTGGGCCATCCTCCACTGCACTCCCGGGCCAAAGCAGAGAGCTAGACTGGAAGAGGGGCAACCAGGACAGAATCTGGAGCCCCGACCAGAACCGGGGGTGCCGGCGCTGCAGGTGGAGGGTTAGCCTATTGAGCCATGGCGCCGGCCAGCCTTCTTAACTTTCAAAAACATACACGCTTTGCCTAGGTTTTTTCTTTTCAATCTGTCATCATTCCTTGCACCTGATCATTCTATTCCAGAATGAGCCCTAGTAAATAACTGACTTAGCTGTTTCTGACCCTGCTGGGAGCTGAAAGTGCTAACTTGGCTACTCCATCTAACTGTTAAACTGGGCTCATCACATCTATGATACTGTATTTTTGTGGCCTTACATGAAAAGAATCTGTACTGCAAGTAAAAGCTACTCCCCAAAATGTGTGATCTTGGGTCTGCATTAAACATAGAATCCATGTTCATAAAAAAATAATAAAATAATAAACAAAACACAAATGCTTATAGAATAAAAATAGGTAAATTGCATCTTGCACACTAAGATATAGGAAAGAAAAATAATCAAAAATACAAGGAACACCCATCACCATAGTGATCTAATCAAAATACTGCTGCTTACCTGACATTAGCTTCTTCAGTAGTTTCTGGCTCTTGTTTGAGTCACGCTGTAAAATATCCCTTTCTTCATGAGTACATACCTGTAGTAATAAGAATAAGACACACTATACGGTTTTCTTGATTTAGCGTTAAAAGTAATCTCAAATTCCATATTAGACGTAACAATAAAATAGTGACTGTTGGTGCTTTTTCATCCAAACACACCAAAACATCTATATCCAGCTGAGTTTTGCCCTATCTTTCCATTTCTCTCTTTTGTAACAAGCCATATAAAAACTTATTTCACTGTAAGCCTCCCTGAATGATTTGAATGTTTTTTTTAAAAAAAGTTTAACCTGATTTCAAAGGAAAAATATTTGCCACTGTTGAGAATAAAGAAAAGTATATTTTTTTTAGAAAAAAAAAAGTCTCTTAGTTTTAATCATGAAACCCAATTGGTCAAGAGGAATTATAAGCAGATGTCTTATTAGAATCAGAAAAAGCAGGGGCCAGAACCGTGGCTCACTTGGCTAATCATCCACCTGTGGAGCCAGCATCCCATAAGGGCGCCGGTCTCTAGCCCCAGTTGCTCCTCTTCCAGTCTAGCTCTCTGCTGTAGCCTGGGAAGGCAGTGGAAGACGGCCCAAGTGCTTGGGCGCCTGTACCCACGTGGGAGACCAGGAGGAGGCACCTGACTCCTGCCTTCGGATCGGCGTATCTCCGGCCATAGCGGCCATTTGGGGGGTGAACCAACAGAAGGAAGACTTTTCTCTCTGTCTCTCTCTGTCTAACTCTATTTGTCAAATAAATTAAAAAAAAAAAAAAAAAAAAAAAAAGAATCAGAAAAAGCAGCAAGGGGCCAGGGCCGGCGCTGTGGCACAGTGGGTTAAAAGCCCTGGCCTGAAGCGCAGGCATCCCATATGGGCACCAGTTCTAGTCCTGGCTGCTCCTCTTCCCATCCAGCTCTCTGCTATGGCCTGGGAAAGCAGTAGAAGATGGCCCAAGTCCTTGGTCCCCTGCACTGATGTGGGAGACTCGGAATAAGTTCTTGGCTCCTGGCTTCAGATCACTGCAACTCCGGCCATTGTGGCCATCTGGGGAGTGAACCAATGGATGGAAGACCTCTCTCTCTCTCTCTCTCTCTCTCTCTCTCTCTCTCTCTCTCTCTCCTCTCTCTGTGTAACTCTGACTTTCAAATAAATAAAATAAATCTTATAAGGAAAAAGAAAAGGCAGCAAATTACAGTGCCACTAGTGAGAATCAGTCTAGACCTTAAACTATGTATATTTTGTTTCTTTGCCTTAAACATCACCTACCTATAAAATATTGACTCTATTAAGCAGAGAAGATGCTCTGTTTATTGTAAAATCACTGCAATTGTAAAAAAGGGGGCTGAGAGGGGGCTATACTGAGCCTATAAAATTGCAAGACCTCAAGACCTCCCTGCTTTCCATTACTGTTTCTTGAACTGAAGGATTCAATGTACCTAAGAGAAGGCACTGCACTTCCCAGCAATAGCTCAATGGCACAGAAAGCTCCTGCCATAGCTATGGGTCCTTCTCTATTGAATGCTTCCTATGGGAGGAGATTTACTTGGTTTTAAAAAATTTGTTTCGGTAGACACTATTTTTCAGGTCATCCACTGTCTATCAGCTTATTCTGAGTATATGGAAAAATTAAGGGCGCCATCAGAGAAGAAGAGAAAAAAAAAGCAACATAAAATGGATGCCTTTACCAATAGCAAATGCCATTCCTTCTGCGAGCCAATTCAACTGGTTGAATGAGCTAGACAGGTCATTAGGGGTTTACTGCTGCATTCTTGAGGTCATTCTCTCAGACAAGGCAGAGCTACAACTAAGTGGTATTCTGGAAACAGAAGTTATGACCTGAGGATTATGCCACAGTAGCTCTGTTCCCCAAGGGATTTGAGCCACATCTGAAGACTTGATCAAAAATTTTTGACGTTTCAAGCCCTAGGGTTTTTCTGAATTAAAGTTAATCTGATACAAGCCTTGAGTTCCTCAACAATGGATACTCTCAAAACCCTCATCACCACAGGCCTCAGTACTAGGATATAATCTTGGATTTCTGAGTGATCAAATCTCTGATACTAGAGTTCACTGGACATCTTAAGGAAGTAATTTACAAAGAAAAAAGAGAAATTACGAGGGATCTGAGTGTCCACGTGTGTTAGCACAAAGCATAGTAAAATATAAAAGAAACAATTTACCAGAGAGCCACAGAACAAGCAGGGGCCAGAACCCTCTTGTTCACAGACAATACGCCCGCAGATCAGACAGTTATTGATGAGTTTGTGTTTCTGGCCCAGGCAATCACAAGGGTGGCGACCAGGGAGCAGGACTGCAAGCTTGTCTTGTCCCTCTCTGGTGTACAAATTGACAAACTTTGTCTTCTTCTTTACAGAGTTGCTGTTCTCTTGTGCCTAATTGTACAAAGACAACAGAGTATCACTGAATAATTAATGACAATGAACCAAGTCAAAGGGATGAGGGAACCTCAGTTTTGTTCAATAACATCTTAAATACTACCCAAGCACCATGAAAGGAGGAAGGGAGAGGGAGAAATACAAACTGCTTATAATCAAGGGTCTAAAGGAAAGGTTATACTCTAGGGAAACTAGTTCATTAATTGCTTTGCTTTTTCTGCTAGTAGCTCTCAGTCCTTACTAAGGCTGGTTAAAGGTAAATATCGAGGCCGGCGCCGCAGCTCAATAGGCTAATCCTCCACCTAGCGGCGCCGGCACACCAGGTTCTAGTCCTTGTTGGGGCCCCGGATTCTGTCCCGGTTGCCCCTCTTCCAGGCCAGCTCTCTGCTGTGGCCTGGGAAGGCAGTGGAGGATGGCCCAAGTGCTTGGGCCCTGCACCCCATGGGAGACCAGGAGAAGCACCTGGCTCCTGCCTTCAGATTAGCACGGTGCACCAGCCGCAGCGCACCAGCTGCGGCGGCCATTGGAGGGTGAACCAACAGCAAAGGAAGACCTTTCTCTCTGTCTCTCTCTCACTGTCCACTCTGCCTGTCCAAAAAAAAAAAGGTAAATATCGGCCAGTGCCGCGGCTCACTAATCCTCCGTCTGCAGCGCCAGCACCCCGGGTTCTAGTCCCGGTTGGGGCACCGGATTCTGTCCTGGTTGCTCCTCTTCCAGTCCAGCTTTCTGCTGTGGCCCGGGAGTGCAGTGAGGGTGGCCCAAGTGCTTGGGCCCTGCACCTGCATGGGAGACCAGGAAGAAGCACCTGGCTCCTGGCTTCAGATCGGCGCAGCACGCCAGCCTCAGTGCGCTGGCCTTAGCGGTCACTTGGGGGGTGAACCAATGGAAAAAGGAAGACCTTCTCTGTCTGTCTCTCTCTCACTGTCTAATTCTGCCTGTCAAAAAATAAATTAAAAAAAAGGAAAGGTAAATATAGCAGTCAAAGCTATTTATAGTAAGACTCAGTTAGTAGAATGTGAAATTAAAAGAGAAGCTTATTTTGCCACAAAAAAATTGATATCTATATAGTTTTTTTATAATGTACATTTTCCATGTACTTTTTGAGATTTCATATATAGAACAAACTTAAATTGGAGATTGTAAGAACATAGAATGCCTCTAAAAACAGATCATACTCATAGATTTGTAAATATGGACAATAAATAATAAAAATCAGTAAGAAATTTACTCAACCAGGTATCAAAAAAAAAAAATGATTAACACACTAGGAAAATGGACAAAAGACCTAAATAAGAACTTCATAAAAAAAAGTTATCCAAATGACACATTGCAAGGAACTTGGGAAACCAGGATGGAATTCCTGGCTCTTCCTGGCTCTTGGCTTCAGGCTGACCCCATCCAAGCTGTTGTGGCAATCTAGGGGTATAAACCAGCAGACACAGGATCTTTCTCTCCCTCCGTCCCTTTTTCAAATAAATTAACTATTTATTTAAAAAAAGGACCAAGTTACATTAAGATACTTGAAGGATTGAGAGTTGTGCTTTGATGTCTCTTTTTAAATATAGACAGATAAATAGGCAGGTAGATAGATTTACTTATTTATTTGAAGGGCAGAGTGACAGAGAGGGAGAGGGTGAGAGGGTGGGAGGGATGGAGAAAAAAAATCTACCATCTGCTTCACTCTACAAATGCTCACCAGCCAGGGCTAGGCCAGGCTAAAGCCAGGAGCCAGGATCACCATCTCAGTCTCCCACATAGGTGGCAGGAACCCAAGTACTTGGGCCATCAGTGCTGCTTCCCAGGCGTATTACCCAGGCAGGATGGGAAGTGGAGCAGCCGGGACTTGAAGGCGCTTTGATATGGAATGTGGATGTCATAAGCAGCAGCATAACTTGCTGTGCCACAATGCCCACCATCTTTTTAAAAAAAGATTTAGTTATTTGAAAGGCAGAGTGATAATGAGAGAGGGAGAGAGGGACAGCAGGAGGGGAGGGGAGGGGAGGGCAGGGAAGGGGATGGGAGGGGAGGGGAGACCCTCTATCCACTTCCTTCTCATTGTGCTTAGAATAAAATCCAGGGGATGGTGATACGGTTAAGTCATCTCATATGGGTGCTGGTTTGAGCCCCAGCTGCTCCCCATCTGATCTAGCTCCCTGCTAATCACCTGGAAAAGCAGTGGAGGATGGCTCAAGCCCTTGTGCCCCTGCACCCACGTGGGAGACCCAGAAGAAGCTACTGGCTTCTGGCTCCTGGCTCCTGGCTTCGGATTGGCACAGCTCCGGCCGTAGCGGCCATCTGGGGGAATGAACCAGCGGACGGAAGACCTCTCTCTCTGTCTCTACCTCTCTCTGCAACTCTGTCTTTCAAATAAATAAAATAAATCTTTAAAAAGAAAATAGACTACTAAGATTCACAACAAAATCATGACAAGTCACCTACAGGGTGCCAGGACTGGGAACTACAGCCTTGAAACCTTCTTACTACAGATACTACCGATCCCTTGTGGTGAGGCAGTGGCCTGTGCACAGCAGCTGTGTTTAGCAGCAGCCAATGGCCAGGAGTAGCTGCTCCCCTCATTCTGGGACAACCATAAGTATCTCAGGCATAACTTCTGCAGGGAATTGACTATCACTAGGTATAGAAAACAAGTAGAATTCTGACTTCACCTCATAAATTCTATATTGTTGTGTTTTTTAAAGCTTTATTTATTTATTTATTTGAAAGTCAGATTTACAGAGAGAAAAGGAGAGGCAGAGAGAGAGAGAGGTCTTCCATCTACTGGTTCACTCCCCAGTTGACTGCAATGGCTGGAGCTGTGCTGATCAGAAGCCAGGAGGCAAGAGCTTCTTCTGGGGTTTCCCACACAGGTGCAGGGGCCTAAGGACTTGGGCCATCTTCTACTGGTTTCCCAGGCCAGCAGAGAGCTGGACTGGAAGTGGAGCAGCCAGGACTCGAATTGGTGCCCATATGGGATGCTGGCACTGCAGGCGGTGGCTTTACCCGCTAAGCCACAGCACCGGCTCCTTTTTTTTTTTTTTTAATAGAAATGTACCCCCAAAACCTTATTAAATTGTGTATCTTTTCTCTTTATTCTTATATTTGAAAGGCAGAGTAATAGAGAAAGAGTTTCCATCCCCCAAATGCCTGCAATAGCCCCCACCTAGAGCCAAAGCCAGAGCCCAGAATTCAACCCAGTTCTCCCACAAGAGTGGCAGGAACCCAGTCACTTGAGTCATCACCACTGCCTCTAAGGGTCTGCATTAGCAAGAAAGTAGCTAGAAGCAGGTATCAACTACAGGCACTCAATGACATCTTAATCACTAAGCCAAATTACTTTATTATCTTAATCACTCCTGGAGAACTATTTTATTAGTTGCATGATATTACATCAAATAATCTTTTTTCTACACCAGATCATCAGGTCATGTCAATTTTTCAAAACTGTACATAACATTGTATAGAACATAAGAGTTTCTTCTTATTCCTGACTACTTCCTAGAGTTCTTCCATCCACTGGTTCACTCACCAAATGACCTCAATGGCCAGAGCTAGGCAAGGGTGAAGCCAGGAGCTTAGAACTGCATCTGAGTCTTCGACATGGGTGGCAGGGACCCAAGTACTTAATCCAACTTCTGCTGCCTTCCAAAGCACATTAGCAGGGAGCTAGATCAGATGTGGAGCAGCTGGGACCCAAACTGCTGCTCTGATACAGGATGCTGGCATCACAAGCAGCAGCTTAGTTTTTTTTTTTTTTTTTTAACATTTTATTTATTTGAAAAGCAGAGTGACAGAGACAGAAGGAGAGAAAGACACATAGACAATAGACTGAAAGAGAAAAAGAGAGAGAACGAGAGAATTTTCCATCTGTTGGTTCACTCCCCAAATGGCTGCAATGGCTAGAGCTGGGCCAGGCTGAAGCCAGGAGCTAGGAACTCCATTTGTGTCTCCCACATGGGTGGCAGGAACCCAAGTACTTGGACCATCTTCTGCTGCTTTCCCAGGCACAGAGCAGGGAGCTGAATTGGAAGTGGAGAAGCTGCACTACAATGCCAGCACTAATGAAATTCTTATTTTAATGTAAGTTTATCACCACTGAGTATTTTATTTATAAAAAAAATTTTTTTATTTGACAGATAGAGTTAGACAGTGAGAGGCAGAGAGAGAAAGAAAGGTCTTCCATCTGCTGGTTCATTCCCCAGTTGGCCGCAATGGCCAGAGCTGCACCGATCCGAAGCCAGGAGCCAGGAGCTTCTTCCGGGTCTCCCATGTGAGTGCAGGGGGCCAAGGACTTGGCCATCCTCCACTGCTTTCCCAGGCCATAGCAGAGAGCTGGATTAGAAGTGGAGCAGCTGGGACTGAACTGGTGCCCATATGGGATGCTGGTGCCGCAGGTGGAGGATAATCAAGTGAGCCATGGTGCTGGCTATTTAAAAAATCTTTGACGATTATATAGAAAACATCTCTATGATTTAAAGTATATATTTTTGCAAACTATTTATATATTTATTTATCTTATTTGAAAGGGAAAGAAACAGATTGAGAGAGAAAGAGAGAAAGAGGGATCTTTCATCCACTGGTGCTGAAACTGTAAGAAAATCCAGGTAAATAGATCAACTAATAGTGTTAAGACTGCATCCTGCTATACTCTCTTACCTATGCCTCCATGGCAACCGGGCAGTTCCCAGTGATAGATATATTTTCTGCCAGTGAGTGGGTCCAGTAGGGCTGACAGATTTTCTGTTGGGTAACTCCTTAGCTAATGGCCACTATCGTGTAACCCAATCCGAAAGAGCCAGCCTTTGTGGACTGCTGCTGCTGGGTTCTGGACACCTATGCTGCTGCTGTTGCTGCTGCCTAAATGAAGAATGTCCCATCTGCCTACAGCTCCACAAGTGTTCTTTCAGTTCCCAGCCCTGCATGCCTCAACACCCCAATCAGTCTGACAGCTGGTTCAATTCCCCAGTTGGCTACAACAGTCAGGGCTGGGTCAGGCTGAAATCAGGAGCCTGGAAGTCTATCTGGGTCTCCCACATGGCTGTCAGAGACCCAAGTACTTCGGTCATCTTCTACCACGTTCTCAGGTGCACGAGCAGGGAGTTCAATCAGATATGGGATGCTGGGCGTTGCAATCAGCAACTTAACCTGCTGCCCCACAATGCCAGTCTCCATTTTTTTCTTTTTCTGTAACATAACATTATTTTGCAAACAGTTTTCCATGTTTTTTATATGGTGATTACACTCAGAATTTTTGAGTCGCTACTCTTACATCTTAGCTATTAACTATCTCTTCTTTTGGGAAATGTAGTTTATCAAATTGCCATGCTTATAAATATGTTTGGTTATCCTAAATGGCCATTGTAAGAGTCAAAAGAGAATGTGCCCTGGCGTGATTCCGTCCTGCATGGCTGTTCTTTGCAGCAGTGGGCGTCTAATCTCCATCCGCTTTCTCTCCCACCCAAGTTCGTCCCTCCATGTCACAGAAGATTCGATGGACATGGACATGAGCCCCTTGAGGACCCAGAACTATCTTTTTGGTTGTGAACTAAAGGCTGACAAAGATTATCACTTTAAAGTGGACAATGATGAAAATGAGCACCAGTTATCTTTAAGAACGGTCAGTTTAGGCGCTGGTGCAAAGGATGAACTGCACGTTGTTGAAGCAGAGGCAATGAATTACGAAGGCAGCCCAATTAAGGTCACACTGGCAACTTTGAAAATGTCTGTACAGCCAACGGTTTCCCTTGAGGGGCTTTGAAATAACACCACCTGCGGTCTTAAGGCTGAAGTGTGGTTCAGGGCCTGTGCATATTAGCGGACAGCACTTAGTAGCTGTGGAGGAAGATGCAGAGTTAGAAGATGAAGAGGAAGAGGATGGGAAGCTATTAAGTATATCTGGAAAACGATCTGCCCCAGAGGTGGCAGCAAGGTACCACAGAAAAAAGTAAAGCTTGTTGCTGAAGAAGACGATGAAGATGACGATGACGATGATGATGAAGATGATGAGGAGGAGGAGGAGTGAAAGAAAAGCTCCAGTGAAGAAATCTATACGAGATACCCCAGCCAAAAATGTACAGAAATCAAACCAGAATGGGAAAGACTCAAAACCATCAACACCAAGATTAAAAGGTCAAGAATCCTTCAAAAAAACAGGAAAAAACTCCTACAACACCAAAAGGACCTAGTTCTGTAGGAGACATCAAAGCAAAAATGCAAGCAAGTATAGAAAAAGGTGGTTCTCACCGGCGCCGCGGCTCACTAGGCTAATCCTCCGCCTTGCGGCGCCGGCACACTGGGTTCTAGTCCAGGTCGGGTGCCGGATTCTGTCCCGGTTGCCCCTCTTCCAGGCCAGCTCTCTGCTGTGGCCAGGGAGTGCAGTGGAGGATGGCCCAAGTGCTTGGGCCCTGCACTGTCGCTCCCCCTCTTCACGGAGGAACGACACTAGACCCTGCACTGTTCTTTTGTCTGCTCGGCTCTCCCCGGGTTTACTGCTGGTCCTTCCCGGGTTGGCTACCGATCCTTCCACCTCCGTGGAAGGGCGGTGCCCCCTGCCACTTTCCCCACTTCTGCGGGGGAGCGGCACACCGCCGGCCAGCTCTCTCGGGGGCTGCTCAGTTGTTATTCGGATGTTCCCCTTAGATGTTCCTGGTGCATGTTGTCTCTCTCCTCCTTTATAGTCCTCTTCGACCAATCCCAACTCTGCTACCCACACGCCGAGTACGCTGCTCTCCTCCAATCAGGAGCAGGATCAGCTCCTGCAGGTTACTGGTCGAACTGGAGGCAGCTGTGTAAAAGCTGTTTACTCCTCTCCCAGCACCATATTGTGGGAGAGCAGATGCATAGAATAAGTCTTAATTCCAGTAACTTAGTCTAGTCCGAGTTGCTCCCCACACTGCATCCCATGGGAGACCAGGATAAGTACCTGGCCTCTGCCATCGGATCAGCGCGGAATGCCGGCCGCGGCAGTCATTGGAGGGTGAACCAATGGCAAAGGAAGACCTTTCTCTCTGTCTCTCTCTCTCACTGTCCACTCTGCCTGTCAAAAAAAAAAAATAATAATAATAATAAAAAAAAAGAAAAAGAAAAAGGTGGTTCTCTTCCCAAAGTGGAAGCCAAATTCATCAATTATGTGAAGAATTGCTTCCGGATGACTGACCAGGAGGCTATTCAAGATCTTTGGCAGTGGAGGAAGCCTCTTTAAAAAAATAGTTTAAACAGTTCGTTAAAATTTTCCGTCTTATTTCATTTCTGTAACAGTTGATATCTGGCTGTCCTTTTTATAATGCAGAGTGGTAACTTTCCCTACCGTGTTTGATAAATGTTGTCCAGGTTCCATTGCCAAGAACGTGTTGTCCAAAATACCTTTTTAGTTTTTAAAGAAGGAACTCCACCCTTTGCTTGGTTTTAAGTACGTATGGAATGTTACGATAGGACACAGTAGTAGCAGTGGTCAGACATGAAATGGTGGGGAGACAAATATATATGTGAAATAAACTCAGTATTTTAATAAAATAGAAAAAAAAGAGAATGTGAAAAAGCTGAATGAAGATGATAGTGGTGGTAGCAGAGGAAAAGGAAGCAGATTCAAAATAAGAAAAGCCATAATAAACAGGTAGAACTGTGCATTCTTTGAGTATAAACCCACACAAAAAAGATTGGAGTTGAAACCTGGAGCACTTCATTAAATATTTTCCCTCTTATTTCTCTCTCAATCTCATCTCTAAGCAAAAATCCCCTTCTAATACTTATCTACGCAGGCTGTCAAAAACAATCTACCATACAGAAAGCAGTAAGTCATCATTATCACTTTCTTTCCCTAAAATCCATGCTTGTGTTGAAGAATTGTCATTCTACACTAATTTGTTTTTTTTTTTCATGGATTTTTTCATAGAAAACTTATTTAATAAATATAAATTTCTAAAGTACAATTTTTGGATTATTCTACACTAATTTGTACATTTTGCTCTCTGAAATATATTAGTCACTTTCCCTTTTCCATAAGCTAGAAAGAGTTTGATTCCATAAGTACTTACCTTGGCCAAATCAAAAGGTGTTTTGACCTCTACAGTTGTGTCAGGCTCAGCAAACGCAGGAACTTCCTGTTTGTTTCTCCCTTTCCGGCGACTGCGCTTTAACTGGTCTCCTGATTTTTGACCATCTAGTATTTCTATAAAGAACAAAAGTACAAACACAGATTAATAGCACGATTCACTTGTGAACTTCTTTAGCTAATAACAGAAGGCTATGTTTAATATTTAGAGTCAAGATATGAAATTAGGCAGATTTTGGGGGCCGGCATCCCACATAGGCGCCGGTTCTAGTCCCGGTTGCTCCTCTTCCAGTCCAGCTCTCTGCTGTGGCCCGGGAGTGCAGTGGAGGATGGCCCAAGAGCTTGGGCTCCTGCACCCGCATGGGAGACCAAGAGAAGCACCTGGCTTCTGGCTTCGGATTGGCACAGTGCCGGCTGTAGCGGCCATTTGGGGGGTGAACAATGGAAGCAAGACCTTTCTGTCTCTCTCACTGTCTATAACTCTACCTATCAAATTAAAAAAAAATTAGGCAGATTTTTAATTAATTATCTTTTTCTTCTCATGTCATAATTAAATTTAAACCATCATTTTTGAGATTGTAATTGGGGTCAGCGTTGTGGTGTAGCAGGTAAAGCTGTCGCCTGCAATGCTGGCATCTTATGTGGGCAATGGTTCATGTTCTGGCTGCTCTACTTTCAAACTAGATCCCTGCTAATGGCCTAGGAAAAGCAGTGGAAGATAGCCCAACTATTTGGGCCCCTGCCACCCGTATGAGAGACTTGGATGAAGTTTCTGGCCACTCGTTTTGGACTGGCCCAGCCTGACCATCGCAGCCATCTATGAAGTGAACCAGCAAATGAAAGATCTTTCTGCCTCTCCTCTCTCTGTAACTTCTCCAAAATAAATTTTAAAATCTTAATTTAAAAAAAAGATAGTCTAACTGAAATGTGATCCCTGTTGAACATGGTGGTGGGAATGGGAGAGGGAAGAGATGTATAATTTGGGACATGCTCAGGCTGACTTGCCCCAAGTGGTGGAGTTGGAAGCATACCAGGGGATTCCAATTCAATCCCATCAAGGTGGCATGTACCAATGCCATCTCACTGTTCCAGGTGATCAGTTTCAGTTCACAGTTGGTCATGGTGAAGGGACTGGGAGTCAAAGGGAGCACATAGACAAGTCTAGTACCTGCTAACGCTAACTGATGGAGTAAATAAAGGGGAGGGTGATCCAACATGGGAAGTGAGATACTCAGCAGACTCATAGAATGGCAGATGTCCTAAATAGCACTCTGGCCTCAGAATCAGCCCTAAAGGCATTCGGAGCTGGCTGAAAAGCTCATGAGAGTATTTCAGGCATGGAAAGCCAAGACACTCTGGCAAAAGATCTCTGCGAGTGAGATCCCAGTGGAAAGAACAGGCCATCAAAGAAGGAGGTACCTTTCTCTGAAGGGAGGAGAGAACCTCCACTTTGACTATGAGCTTGTCTAAACAAGATAAGAATCGGAGAACTCAGAGGGCTTCCATAGCCTTGGAAACTCATGACTGGAGCATAGGGAGATTACTGATGCCATAGACAGGAGTGTCAATTGGTAAAGTCAACAACAGGAGTCACTGTGCACTTACTCCTCATGTAGGATCTCTATCCTTAATGTGCTGTACATTGAGATTTAATGCTATAACGAGTACTCAAACAATATATTTCACTTTGTGTTTCTATGGGGGTGCAAACTGTTGAAATCCTTACTTAATGCATACTAAACTGATCCTCTGTAAAAAAGAAAAAAAAAAAAAGAAATTATCAATTCCCAACTTGACTCTCACTGGGATTAAACATGACAATAGGTCTGCTCTGATTTCATCATCATTTTAAAAAATCATCTATTATTTTTCACTTTATGTTTCTGTGTGGGAGCAAACTGTTGAAATCCATACTTAATGTATACTAAGCTGATCTTCTGTATATTAAGATAATCGAAAATGAATCTTGATGTGAATGGAAGGGGAGAGGGAGTGGGAAAGGGGAGGGTTGTGGGTGGGAGGGACGGTATGGGGGGAAAGCCATTGTAATCCATAAGTCGTACTTTGGAAATTTATATGCATTAAATAAAAGTTAAAAAAAAAAAAAAGATAGTCAATGATAAAGAAGTCAACAAAATAGTACTGGCTGTGATTCAGAAGCTAAATTAAAATCTGATATTTTAGATTATATAACAATAATAATGGCCATGGATCATTTAACTCAGTGTTCATCTTTTATATTGTTTAGTCACTTTTAATTGCTTTTTCTACTATAATTTGTCAACATCTTATTTTCAATCAGGTGTATACATAATTGAGGAATATTTCTTTAATCCAAGAATGAATAGCCTACATTTCTTCTGAAGCTACATTTGTGTTTGCAAACAGATATTTGATGATATTTTCCAAGCTGAAAAAGTCTAAATTAGAATAAAATTCATTAAAGATGAGACAAAGTTGAACTGAAAATATGTATACACAATTATGCTTAAGTTAGCTGTAAACAAATACAGGATGGGGGCCGGCGCTGTGGCGTAGCGGGTAAAGCAGCTGCCTGCAGTGCCTGCATCCCATATGGGCACCAGTTCAAGACCTGGCTGCTCCACTTCCCATCCAGCTCTCTGCTATGGCCTGGGAAAGCAACAGAAGATGGCCCAAGTCCTTGGCCCCTGCACCTGCATGGGAAGAACCGGAGGAAGCTCCTGGCTCCTATCTTTAGATCAGCGCAGCTCCAGCCATTGTGGCCAATTGGGGAGTGAACCAGCGGATGGAAGACCTCTGTCTCTCTGCCTCTCCTTCTCTCTGTGTATTCTGACTTTCAAATAAATAAATAAATCTTAAAAAAAAAAATACAGATGGGGACCGGCGCTGTGGCGCAGTAAGTTAACGCCCTGGCCTGAAGTGCCGGCATCCCATGTGGGCGCCGGTTCGAGACCCTGCTACTCCACTTCCTGTCCAGCTCTCTGCTATGGCCCGGGATAGCAGTGGAGGATGGCCCAAGTCCTTGGGCCCCTGCACCCACGTGGGGGACTGAAAGAAGCTCCTGGCTCCTGGCTTTGCGGCCATCTGGAGAGTGAACCATCGGATGGAAGACCTCTTTCTCTCTCTGCCTCTCCTCTCTCTGTGTAACTCTGATTTTCAAATAAATAAAATAAATCTTAAAAAAAAAAGTTTCAGAGTTTGGAGCATTTAAAAAAAAATACAGATGGTAGAAAATAAGTCCTTTAAATCTGCTCATTTACCAGTAATATTTCAACCTTTATTTAATTACATTAACTTACCATCTTTTTTGAAGGACTGCTGCATAGGATCAGAAATCAGCTCCTGATCATTTTTCTGCCATTTATTTATAAGTTCTTCTATGAATTGACCTTTTGGGCCCTCATTTCCCTGGAGTAGATCAGTAACATATTCTCGAATCTCTTCGGCACTCTCAATTGACAGAACATACCTCAGGAGACAAAGATACAAGTTGCTGAAACAAGACTAGTGTATAATACATTTTCAATAATCACAATAGAGATGAAGGTAGTAAAATTAATGCATTAATCTATTAGAGAGCTAAGTACTATGCTAGATGCCAGGGACATAAATTTGATTAGGGCAAAGCCCCCATCTCAAGTAGTAGAAAATCTATCCTTCATATGTATTTAGCCATTAACTGTTTCTCTGTATGTCTGGAATCTAATCAGTCTTCTGAAAGATTGTGGGGCTGACCTTAACACAAGAAAATTTTCTATAACTGCACATCTGCAGTCATAATATGTTACTGGAAACAATATGAATCACTTAATCTCTATATTGAAACATCTAAATTTTCTCTTATTTTTGCAAAAGATATAAAATACACTACAACCTAATTAGTTAATGATTCAACATTATTAAAAACTGTGGAGGGCATTTGGCACAGCAGTTAAGACACAGCCTGGGACACCTGAGTGCCCTGTCACCGCGCCTGGTACCTGGTTAATGCACACAGCAGGTAATGGCCTAAGTACTTGGATCCCTGCCACACAAGAGGGAGACCTGGGAAGAGTTCCAGGCTCCTGGCTTTGGCCTGAACTAGCCCCAGCAGGCATTTCAGGAGTGAACCAGTGGATGGAAAATCTCTCTTCTACTTTGCCTTTCAAAAAATAAAAATAAAAAAAAATTCTTTTTAAAAAGATTTATTTATTTATTTGAAAAGCAGAGTTACAGAGAGGCAGAGGCAGAAACAGAGAGAGACAGAGAAGTCTTCCATCTGCTGGTTCACTCCCCAAATAGCCACAATGGCCAGAGCTGAGCCAATCCAAAAGTAGGAGCCAGGAGCTTCTTCTGGCTCTCCCACAGAGAAAGGACAGAGAGAGAGGGAAGGAGAAAGATCTTCCATCCACTGGTTCATTCTCCAAACAGCTGCAATGGCAGGGCTGTGCCAGGTCAAGGCCAGGAGCCTGTGATTATATCACCAGGGAGCTGCTTTGGAAGTGGAGCAGGAGGGTGTCCAACCAGCACCCACAGGGGAAGCAAGCATTGCAAGGGGCAGCTTAATCCTTTACACCACAATGCCAGCCCCAATTCCCCTAGTGTGAACTGTTCTAAAAAACTCACAACTCTAAGGGATGTCAAGAGATCATTTAACCTTAACCCTGGAGTTTTCAAACCACCAGTTAAGTACAAAGATTTCTAGAAATATTTTGAATAAATATCATTTTAACTGTTTAACAGTATAATAAAGAACAAGTTCATCCAAATATGTTTTATAGCAAATCTTAACAAAACAGAATTAACCCAAACTGTGGGGCAAATTTTAGTTTGCTAACTCTTGTGTACACATCTTAATATCTTATAAATATGTGACTGATTAGGAAGTTAATATATCTGTACTATTTTTTAAATTCAGGCCACTCACAAAATTGTTCAGGTTAGCACCCTGAGTAATTCTCAATTAGATGCTAGGCAAGGCACAGGCATTGCTTTCATCCTGGTAGAACAGCCTGTTGTGCAATAACTAGTGAACACCCAGTAAGTTCAAGGAATATGATACTATTGGTGGCTCTGGTGCTTATTATAAATTCTGAATCCTTCTCACCTAACTTGTATTTACGATTAAAGACGATAGCAAGTGTTTACCCAGATTTGGGTGCTTCAACTTTAAAACAAATTTCTTATCACTCCACTTTCAAATGGTGTGGATAAGCCTGAGTCTCCAAAATGAGCTATTCAACCACGATGTATAAGAGCCAGAATTTTCTTGACACTGTGTAATCAAGCAAAATCTAACTGGATTCCGAGATGAAGAATACATCTCTGAGGTTCATGCCTACCCTATTTCACACTGTTGAGTCACCAAAAATGGCCTCAATCTTTATATATAACAAGTGATTTTATATTACATATGATAACTTTGCATTTACTTATATTCACAAAAGTCATTTTTCTGTTCTGTTGTAAAAATCTCATTATTCCATTTGACAACATTACACAACTAAAAAAAAGTGTGAAAACTAAGCCTAATTTTGCCTTCAAACAAGGGTAAAGTCAAACCATATAACTTGCATGTTTTTTTTTTTTTAGTCTGTTCCAGGGTTCAAAAAAAAAAAAATCCTTTAAAATAGGCTCTCTTAATGCTCTCTTTGTCAACAAGTATATTTTGCCCCACTTAGAAACTCCCTTTACTTCCTACAAAATTCTTAACATTGCAATGTAGGTTTCAGCAGCAATAAACAAGGAAGCAAACTAAGAAACACCTGAAAGGCTCCCTGATAGAACCCCCTTGTTGTGCAAGTGTTCACCCCGACTCGAACACTTCATCTCCACTTTTCCCAATACTTAGTTCTCAGGGGAAAGCCGTCCTTTCCGGTGAATCTTCCTAGCTTCTCCAGTCTTAACGAGGCCCTTTCTTCCATGCATCCACAACACCTTCCACTCCCCTCTCTTCAGCACTTACTAAAGAAGCAGAACCCAACTGTCCTGACCATCGGAGTTGTCCCAGCACCTGGCGTGCGGGAGCAGCACCAACGAACGTTCATCCAAGGAAGTCAGAAACTGTCAGGTTTACTATCTCCGTTTCACAGTAACCTCAATACATTCAAGGTAAATCTCTGTAGTTATTAATTTTACAGATACAGAGAGGGAAACTGAGTTGCCCAAGCTTCCAAAACTGGTAAATGCCAAGAGAGAGTAGCAGCTGGGACTCCCGAGTTACGAGCTATCTGCATTGGACCACGCCATCCGCCGTTTAAATTCCACGTCCTCTTTGACACGACTCAGACCGCGCGAACTGAAAGGTTCAGAGTAAAGAATTTCCGGAAAGAAAGCTTCACTTGCCTCCTGTCTCCAGAATCCCTAAGGAACTAGCTCCCGGGCAAGCTTACAGGTCTAATTATTATGGATTTGGCGTTTTCCCAGTGTATAGGGGGGCCCACTGGCAAATGGTGGCGCCTGACATCCTATCCAAGAAACCAAATTATAAAGGTGGAGGCCAAAATTCGGCGCCCACAGGTCGACAGGAGCGCTCCTCCCCACCAACCCCCGACCTGCTAAAACAATTTCCTCTCTTCCATCAACTTTTCAGTCCTTCCCGCTTCCCCACTCGCTCAGCCAGTGCACACCCCAACCGCCTCGGACCCCAACCGTTTCTCACTGCATGATTTCCTCGCTGACATCCAAGCCGAAAGTTTTCCGCAGCTGCTGGGTGCACCAGCGGACCAGCGGCTCTCCGGCCACCGCCCCAGCCACCGCCATCTTCCCCAGCCGGAACCAGCTGGGCTGGGGAAGCCCTGCGTCCTGCGCCGGACTAGTTCCCTTCGCAACAGCGACCCAGCTCACGCGGGTTCCGCCAGCCTGCGCAGCCCCGCCCGCCGTGCCGCCTCCGGGGCAGGTCCCGCCCACCTGTGCCGCCGGCGGCTTCTTCCCGCCGCCCGGGCGCCCTACGCTCGCACCCGGGCTCCGTCCGCTTCTGATTCTCCTGCATCGTTACGGGTGGGACCCGAGGAGAGCCGCCGGCGATTCTGCTGAGCCGTCAGCTCAAATGCCGATAAAAACGACAGCTTAAAAAAATTTAAAAGTGCAATATTCCGAAAAGTTAGGGACCAGGTCTTGGGTCTGCGCTGGTTTTTCTGTCCATTTAATTCAGAGCTTGTAAGCTATAAGCTTACCCTCTGGTGCTGATGTTTAATACTTCCTGTAGTTTAACACTAGATTCACACTGTTTTTATATATATATATATATATATATATATATGTGCGTATATATGAAGGAGATTTTACACACACACACACACACACACACACACGCACCCTTTTCCAGCAGAACCAAGACAACTCAACAGGCATCAGCGAGATTTGTCTTTAATGACTTTCCACATAAATTCTCGACTCCAGTAGTCCAGATTTAAGGGTCATCTGCATTTCCTATCCCGTTTAGCCAAACTTTTCAGGAGCTCATGATGTTTTCTGATTCGTGGTTGGTTTTTCAATATCTTTACAAATTAAACACCCCTCGTTCCCTTTAGGCTATTTAGACTAAGCGATTATATTAAATTGGATGCTGTTTCATCTTTTTTTATGCCAATATTTTCATCGGCATAATCCAAATCATATAAGTGTATTGATTTATATTGAGTTTGGATTGTCTTTGACAATTATCATTAATTTGAAAATGTATAATATTATAACCCTTTTAAGCAAAGCACTTGATAAAGTTCATTGTATTCATTAATAGTGCAAGTTTTGCTCCTTCACAAAAATCAGCTATATTTAGTATTATGTATCAAAATAACTTACCTATTTCTGTACCTGTTTGGTCCAGTAATAAAATATTAATTGCATGAAGAAAGAGACTATTTCTTTTAAATATTTTGCACAATAGGGGCCAGTGTTGTGGTGCAGCAGGTTAAGCTGCCATTTGCGATACCAACATCCCAAATCTGAGTGCTGGTTTGAGTCAGGCTGCTCCACTTTGGATCCAGCTCCCTGCTACTAGTGTGCCTGAGAAAACAGTGGAAGATGGCCCAAGTACTTGGGTCCCTGCCGTGCAAGTAGGAGACCGGAATTGGTGTTCCTGGTTCCTGGCTTCAGCCTGGCTCACCCCTTGGCTATAATAATGGCTATTTGGGAGTGAACCAGCAGATGAAAAATCTGTGTCTCTCCCTCTTTGTTCCTGTGACTGTCAAACAAATAAGTATATCTTTAAAAAAATAAGCATTTTTTTAAAAAAGATCATTTATTTGTTTGATGGGCAGAGTTACAGAGAGAGAGAGAGAGAGAGAGAGAGAGAGAGAGAACTATCTTCCATCTGCTGCTTCACTCCCCAAATGGCACCAGGGCTGCCACAGGCTGAAGTGAGGAGCCGGGAGCTTCTTCCTGGTCTCCCACGTGGGTGCAGGGGCCCAAGCACTTGGGTCATCTTCTGCTGCTTCCTAGGTGCATTAGGACACTGGGTTAGAGGTGGAGCAGCCGGGACTGGAGTCC